CTCAAGTGGTTGCTCAGGTGAATGTAAGGGCAGTGGCGACAGCGATAGTTGAACGTCCATTTTCGCTATGTAGCTATGTCAGGCGTGCATTGATTACAGTCCAAAGTACAGTGCTGGTAGATGTAAATGCGACGCGCGCGCATTTCGGTGGTGGGGGGGCGTGAAAACCCGCGCTTAGTCAGCTCTAAACTGACGCCGGGGCGTCAGTGTATTGGGACCCGACGAAAAGGTGAGGATGAATTAAATCGAGTACGAGTAAACGTCGGGTATAGGCAATTTGGTCATAGTAACTAGGTAGGTAGCTATTATGTTTAATTTGATTCCAATTGCAATCGATTCCAAAGCACAATATTGCCTAAGCAGTTTATGTATCCATATCATATGGGTACTGGTATGATGTTTACTCATAGCACTGATTTTGAAGAGGCTTATCCCTGCATGGTTCAATTAAGCTTAACCTTATCGCACGCGAAGCCCGGCGCCATATCGCGCCCGCGCCCGTCGTCAACACCAACAAAACAGCTGGAGCTACTCGTACTGAGTACTCATACGTTCTTGCGACAGGCGTCATATTCCCCCTTTCTCACCGCAACCAGACTCTCGCTTGCGGGACTCGGGTACTGTACTGCCCCCTCATCCTCATCATCATGATCATGGCCCTCTCCATCTGAACCGCGCCCCGCCACCTTGAAGAGAGAAACCCCGCGGCGGCATGGCTTCCCTCTGGCCTGGCAGAGCGCTCGCAATCGCATCAGAAGATCCTCCTCCACCACTACCAGCTACATCCATACCAATGGCGGCGGCACAAGACAACGCCGATGTGGCAGATACTGGACTGGCAGATGTTGGTCTTCCTGCTCCTCCAGAATCCGAGCCTCCAAATGCGCTCACGAGCGTTCCTGTTCCTGTTCCTATCCTTATGGGGACCTCGAGGCCACAACTCCAACGAAACCAACCCCAGCCCCCACCTCCTCATCAACCTCCCCCACCACCATCTCCTGCCCATCAGCAGCTGCCCAACACAAACGACTCCCTCTCTCTAATACAATTACGTCGGCTGGTCCATGAGTTTCCCAGATCCGAGCCCGTTTCGTATGCTTTTGAATATACCGACACGGCGACTTTCGAGGAGGAGGTCGATGAATGGTTCTCATACAATGATGCTGAGTACAAGCGCCTTCACCGAGTCAAAGACACCTTCGGCCGACGATGGAAGAAGTTTTCGGGGAAACCTTGGTTGGATGCCGATCAGACGGAAAGACAAAATTTTGCTGAACAGGAGGTTAATGGTCTCCTCGCTACGGATTTACGGCGACGCTGCAAGGCATTGCAATCGATTCTCCATATAGTTCTAGGAGTTTGGGATGAGACAGCTGGCATTCAACTGGCGGGAAAGGAAGAAGACGCCCCCAGAACAAAAACAAAGGCCACTCAAATTCAATTAGAGCACATGAAGTCCGGTATTTTGCTTGTGGCACGCGCTGGTGGAGTCCCCTTACTTTACGAGGTCATGCAGAATGCGTTCAAGAGGCTGTGGTAATGGTCAAATACTGCCAGACTCCTGTTCCTTGCTGATGTTTGCAGGGATGACGAGTATCGAGAAACGAAATTGTCAGAAGAGGATATCCCATATGTTCAAGATGAACTGGACAATGTCACAACTATCGAGTATCTACTAATTGAGGGTATCCGTAATGACCCAGTCACTTTGGATTCACCTCGCATCAAGCTCTGTGTGTATACTTACCCTAATGAAAATGCGCGGCTAATATCAGTAGTGGAACTCAATCCAGGGCTTCTAGAATATCTGATTAACGTAACTGCAAGGCTTCGATGGGACGAAGCAAATGAACTGCCCCAAACAAGAGTAAGTTGAGCTTGCGCAGCCCATTTCCCACTACCTAACCGTTATCAGATTTTTCTTCTCTTCTGGAAAGCAATTCTACTTGTATTTGGGGGAACCACCCAAGTAGATGAAATCAAAAAATTTGTGGATGAGCTGAGAAATCAGAACGGTCCTCCCGAGAAGATTATCACTGCTTCGCCCCTCGATTATCATATCTTCCGCCAAGAGATAACTTCTAAATATCCAGCTTATACACCACCTCAACCTTTATTACCCTTGGAGCCCGACAACAATTCAATACTCCCCCCACTTCCAAACCGGCCAAGCCGCGCCAATGGGGCAAACGGCATTATAGCACCCGCTATGAACGTGAATAGTAGTGGTGCATCTATTCTACATCAGCCTGTGCATATTGCCACTCCTGCTCCTTCACCACCGCCCTCTCCCCCGGTTGGTGGTAAAGCTGGGAAGAAACAAAATTATCAGACGAATCAAAATTTTCCTTTCATGTATCCTCCATTGGATAGCACAAGTAATAGTGCTGGAGGAAAAGGCTCCGCTGGTCTGCAAGGACTTCTTGTTGGCCGAAGATGGGAGGGGAGTGATATACCGAAATCGATTCTGGAGGCTGGTGATTTGTTCGCGAACCGTATGCGTATGACTAGGGCAATGCGACAACTATGGGACGAGAGGGAACGCTTTTTGAAATTTGAACGAGGATGGGATGGCTCGAATGACGACATCGAAGAGCTAGACCTGGAAAATATTCTGGCCCATAAGCTGTCGCTGCATAAGAGTAGCCATACAAAGCCAGAAGTCGATTATGGTCCCAATCCAAACATCGATGGTAAGGTGAAACACAAACTTGATATGGTCGAGGGCTTCTATGTAAGTTTCATCCTGATCCTGTTTGTAATTTATGCTTACATATTCAGCGGGAATCGATACCTCACCTTCAGTCCCTAGTTATCGTGTTATTAAAGGCAGTATTATCGAACGTAACCGCTTTACTCACACAGCCTGGCAACCAGCCACCTGGTGGGCTAGCACCAGGATTTAGGTCGGAAACAAACCTTCGCAATAGCGTGCCACAAAATAGACCTGACCCTGCTAATATCCCTCTTCCTAATACGGTCGAGCCGTCAGATCTTTCCATCGACGAAGTTGAGGCAATTCGATCTCGGGAGATCACAGCAAAGGCTGTCTCGGGGATTCTACTTGTTATCTTGAAGTGGTTCAAAGTCTCACGTAAGTTCTTCTCGATGTGTCGCAGACTCTGGGCTGACAAAAAAAAGATATCCTCAAGTTTGAGTACTTTACCCAGTTACTTCTCGACTCAAACTATCTTCCACTGGTTTTGAAATTGTTTGCGCATCAAGAGATTGACAAAGTGGTAGAAAGCAGAACAGATCGTGATGAAATGAGGTATTTTCTTCATATATCTCCTCCATGCTACCCATACCTACTTACGCATTGATAGTTTCTTCGCTTTCTGTAACAGCAACAGTAGAAATGCCCCAATAGGTCCCAATCAAGATGACAGCGAGGATGACGCTGTACCACCACCAATCAAAATTAAGCGAGATGTGGCGAGTGGTTCTGAAGATAAGTTACCAGCCCTCGCCTTTCAAGATGGCCAATTGGCAGGCAAACGCCAGTTGTCCGAAGTGGACGAAATGGGTTACCCGGCCAGCGAGCCCGCGTCCGACCAACCCATAACCGAGTTCTCTTGGCGGAATTTCTTCTCGTCCATCAACCTCCTTCGTGTCATGCAAAAAATATGCAAAAACAAAGCACATCGTAATCTTCTACTGGTGCAGTACAAATCATCTAATATTCTTAAGAAATCACTCAAAATCCCTCAGCCGGAACTACGTCTCTACACCTTGAAACTATTCAAAAGCCAGGTTCCTTACTGCGGGCGAAAATGGAGACAGGGTAACATGCGTGTCATCACTTCGGTATACCTCCACTGTAGACCGGAACTACGTGATGACTGGTTGGCGGGCAGTGACGTGGATGCGGAGGTGGAGGAGGCGCTGCCATTGGAGCAGGCGTTGCGCGCGTTGACGCATTGGCATAATATTAAGAGATACCCAGATCAAATGGGGGCGGACACCAAGTTGTTGGAAGAGGAACATGACTTTTTTGTCAGAGAGTTGGACAAGATGGCTTGGATTGACGACGGGATAGAGGAGGGGGACGGAGGTTGGGATGGAATGAGTAATGGTTGGTGATGTGATTTGGAACGAATAAACGTCATGCTTTTTCTATCTACTCTGTCTCTGGGTTCTTGTGATTGGATTGGATGACGGTCTCCTTGGTTATGATTAGGGCTTACGCATTGTCTCACATGTGTTTCTCGCGCTCAGGGGCACTCTTCCGTTCATTTATGGTGGCAAGTACGTTTCAGATATGGATCGAGTAGTCGAGTGGCATTTATTCGAGTGGCATTCTGCAAGCGCAGAGGAGAAATCATACATTGGTCTATATGTGCGTTTGGGCTCCTTCGGTTCCTCGATCGGGAGAGGACTTTTGTTGCGATAACATAGGTGTCTATTCATGTGCGTTTGATCATTGCGGAAATTGGGCCCTTCATTCGGTCTCTTTGAGCAAGAGCTTCGGTACAGTGTATCGCCGAAGACATCATTGCCAAGTCTTACGTTGGCTTGTAAGGCCTATACAGACAGGTCATAATCACCAGTTCTGTAAGGTTCAGGACTAAATCGGTTTCATGTTTGAAGAGACACTGTATGCTCTACCTCGCAAGAAGCATGAAGAAAGACTTCTTAAAACATTTCTCTGGACCAACTTGCACGATTCCTAAAGTCAAACTTGCAAACCTACAACGAGAACTCTATCCCACAAGCAGATCACAGAAGAACAGACTGCGGTAGGCCCACCAAAGTATCCATTTCATTACCCGTCGCACGCCTTCTATACCATAACGGGTATACTACCTCGCCGCTCGCATAATGTTCTACCAATATCATCCACCCATATATCCCGCCACTAAACCACTTGCGCCCCTTTGAAGCATTTGTTGCACGTCGAACAATTTTAATTCTCCGACGGAATTTTCGATTTCTTTCCTTTCTTGTGATGTGTTGAGGGTGGGGTGACTAACTTATTCTCCGACTCGGTTGGCGGAGTGGGTGGGTTTGATTGATCGACCCGTTTCTTATGGGGCTTAACTTTAAGCGTTAAGATGCTGATGTGTATGCGTTAATCCCTTTGAATTTTCTACTTGCAGGCAGGGATTTGAGCTGCTCTTGATTTAAGATTGGTGGTGTTGAGGTGAAGGGAACTGTTTGCGTTAACTGTTTGTTTTGCTATAGAAAGAAACAAAACAGTTTCAAGTCTAGCGAAACAAGCAGTTGACCTATTCATGTGACCTGCCTGGAAGCTCCTATGTTTTTACCTTCAATTCCCGAACTTCGAATTTGATGCTGCTGTGAGGCTCCCGATTGGTTATGGGCTAGTTTCGCCATCGGCCTCGCACTTAAATGTTGGGACTCTGGTCGTTCAGTAATTCTTATTGGGCCTCATAGGTGCACCGAGTCTTGAAAATGCGAGTGATCCTCGTTATTAGTTGAGGCTATGATTAAATACTCTGTCGAAATGAAATTTGAGTTTGGTTGTTTCTTGACTAACTTCATTACAGTAGCCTCCTTTCAATAGCCAGAAACAGAAGTCTGACGCTTTGCTTTGCGAAAAGAAGAATAATCTTACCTTATGGTAACACCGTGAAATTGGCGCTACTCGAGAGGAGCATTATCTGCAAGGTGATCTTCAAAGTTCATTATCGTTGATATTGCAGTATTCACACCACAGTATGATAGCTAGTCCCGTTCCCTGCCACCATCCTTAAACACTGCGCTGATTCTTTCACAATTAATTTTGACTGGAAAGCCGAGCACGTATTAGGAGCGGCGAGCCACGAGAGCTGCCAATTTCATTAGAGCACTTGCTGTGTTGAACTTCCACGGCGGATTGCCCAAGTAGACTGACCGCTCTTTCTCTTAGCTCCCACTAAACAACAAGGAACGCATCTGAGTCCTCAAATTCCTCCTCTTTGCTCTCCTTATCCGCAACCTCTCCTGGTACTTTATGAAATCTGGAAGGAGAAAGTCTGGTAATGCGATAGCGGCGAGCAGTTTCGGAACTTTGTTCGGGTTAGTCAACAATATGAAGTTGTGGTAATGGCCACCATCCGAAACTGGGCTCCACTGAGGTTGAATACTTAATACATACCATGCATAGCAATCGGTCCTGTTGTTTTTGGAAGGTTTCTACCTCAAATATTTGCTCCAAGACCATTGCTAATTGCATTTATCCGCCATATAGACCAGCAATTGCGGTCAGTAGCGTGTGGGCTCTCGGATTAAATACGGCGAGACATGAATGCCAGATTATGGTTCCACGAATCATTTGTAATGCTTGGGTGGGCCTCTTCCTTGACTCGTTTGTGGAACTCTATGGATCGAAGGGCTGAGGAGGCTTTTTATTTCGAGTATATCGTGACTAACTAGATTTCCGACAGCTTAATAAGGAATGTAGTATTAGCTCCAGTCGTAGAAAGCTTTCCTCTAGACCTGGGTTTCAACTTCGTTGGTAATATTTATAATGCAAATCCAAGAGAACCTGTTAACGTAAGGAGTTGCACGTTAAATTGAAAACTTGTTGAAACAACTTTTAAGGGTGCGGGTGGTAATGGTATTAGCTAAGCGGAGAGCTGGCAATGATTAACCTTAAACTTTGCATTCCTAGCACTCTTCTCCTACCACTGGGCCCCAATCACTTCACACGGTTGTGTATACAAGAAAGTTTCCGTTGACCAAGAAGGATCGTACTCACTACGGTTGCCCCAGCGAATGGCGACTTAAGATGCCAGACAAAATGTGGTAAATTGGTGTATAGATGCTTATTACTTTGGAAAGGAGAGTGTCAGCTCAACTTGGTGATCAGCGATATATACTCTAGTACGTTATAATTCACTAGCTTTGGAGTTGGGCTAAGTCTTTAGGGGGGCGAGTTTATATTAGTCATCTATCTCGCTTTGTTTTGGTAGGCTGCAAAAATAAAAATGATGTTTCAAAGCTAGTTAGCTATATTTCCAAAAACACTGGCAATGCCGTCAAGAACTTTGACTTGAATAAGTCTTTACATAGTTCTTTAATGGAAATGCAAAGGCAAGCTAAGAGCTTATAGACAAGTGGGATGATTTTCTATCGTTCGTACAACACAGATGGGATACAGGCAACTGTTTTAAAAGTTAAATTCACAGTGAGATACTGTTTCAAGTCACTTGGGCTTAGATTTCGTTTAATTCGCAAAACAATGAGAAGATAGACATCCCAAGGAGGCCGTCAAGTTTCTTTTCTCAGAATCAAAGTTTGTACTATACGGTCAGATTCTTACGGCATCCTGGAACTACAACTAAACTAGATGATTAAATCGCAAATCCCGAATCACAAAAGTCTTATATTTACTACTGCTACTATTACCCCCACACCCCCACCCTCATCCAAACTTCATTTTCGTGTGTACACTTGCCACCCTCACTGTCGCACCCGCAATGTACTACCTTCACTGTCGCACTCTCACCATCGCATAATGGTTATTGTTACGACATGGTCTTAGCTGAGGTGTTACGGAATGTTGGAGTTCACCCCCTTTGTTGATTTAGTATGTGACTCTTGCATTTAGCGAGACTTTTTATGCGTTCGTTATAGATCTATATAAGTCACGCTAGTATTGTTTATGAAGACGCTAGTCTTATTTAGGAAGACGCTAATTTTATTTAGGAAGGCTCTATGATATAGGAGAGCTCCTACATAAGAGTACTGCTCCCACCTTAGCTAGCTTCCTTTTATCTATCTACTTTTTACACCTCATTCTAACAGTCTCCTGTTTTGTCCCTGACACCATTCCTCAAGTTCCACCAGGTCACAGGGGTGGTGAAACACGTGATTGTATTCTCCTTGTCAAGTAACGTTACCATATTGTATTCTTTTTTCGTGCCCCATGTTCTGGAGCCTCAATCAGGTTTACTATGCTTAATTCTTGAAGTATCAGTAAGAAGTAGCACGCGACGTTATCGCAAGCAAAACAAGATCATCTGAAAAAAATGACTTGAACGTTGGTTGTTCTAGATCAAAATCTCGCGGAAGGGATCTACTTTGGGAAGGTACTTTCGTGCAACTTCTGATTCCTTATCTATCACCTACATAAATTTTACGGACTCGATATCAAGTGAGCAAAATCACATGCCTAAGGAGGCAAACCCTGGCCTGTAACTGAGCAAGTCACGGTATTGACATATATCCCATTGTGTTTGAAACAACTTGATTACTAGGATTCCGAATCCCTACAAGTGATTCATTGTCACAAAAGAAATGGTTGGTTATAATCCAGGCTCTTTTGGTGCCCACTTACTGTAGCATGAGTTCCATGCTGCATTCGCTGGTCTTGGAAGTGACTCTCTCAACTACTCTGGTATAGTAGCTCATCGCGATATGAAATGACTATCTCAAAGTGGATTTCCCTCCAAGAGCTATATATTTAGAGCCCCAGGCATCACTTGAACAAGAGAAGACTCACAGTTATAGTTCTCAATTTTGCCTACATTTTTACCCTTTCATTCGTTATGACACATCAAATTATCATTTTTGCAGCCTTTCTTTTGGCGTTGCCCTTCTGTCAAGCAGGCTTCAATCCACATTCATCTAGTAATGTAGCAGTCTATTGGGGTTTGTACTCTTACTCTTCCCAATATACAGCTATTAACTGAGCCAAAGGCCAGAACTCATATGGACAAGCTACTGGCTCTCCCCTAAGTCAACAGAGACTGTCATACTACTGTGCTAGTGAGCCAACTCCTTCGACCTCCTCCTCAGATATGCCGCTGACAACCAACAGATAGTCAGATCAATGTTCGTTATTTTTAAATGAGGAGCTGTATTGTCATTAACGTTCGTTTATAGATAATCCCCCTTGCTTTCCTCATTACTCTCAGAACACCAAGTGCAAACTTTGCCAACGCCGGAGATCTCTGCACTCCAATAGCTGGCTCATCCCTCTTCTACTGCCCGCAAATTGAGTAAGTGGCAGATTCCCAATTCTGCAAGCTACAAACAACTGATATTCTACTTCTTCAGGGAGGACATAAAAACTTGCCAGCAGACGTACGGAAAAACCATTCTCTTATCTGTAGGTGGTGCCACATATACGGAGGGAGGCTTTACATCTAGCACCCAAGCAATTAATGCAGCGAGCAATATCTGGTCCATATTTGGCCCTGCGGTTTCCGGCAGTTCGGTACCAAGGCCTTTTGGAAGCGCAGTGATCGATGGGTTCGATTTCGATTTTGAAGCTGTTGCTGCAAATTTGGTGCCGTTCGCGAACCGACTTCGAAGTCTTATGGATGCGGCTGGTGGAAAATCTTATTATCTGACAGCTGCTCCGCAATGCCCATACCCAGATGCGGCAGACGGCGAGCTTCTTGCTGGTGCGGTCTATTTCGATGCCATATTTGTCCAATTCTACAACAATTACTGCGGTATCTCGTCGTATGTTCCCGGTGCAGCTTCACAGTTTAATTTCAACTTCGATACCTGGGATAACTGGGCAAAGACTGTCTCCTTGAACAGAAATGTGAAGGTCTTTTTGGGTATCCCAGCTGCTGTTGGTGCAGGAGCTGGATATATTTCCGGGAGTGCTTTGGCGTCTGTCATCGCGTATTCCAAGACTTTTAGCAGTTTTGGAGGAGTGATGATCTGGGATGCTTCTCAAGCATATTCTAACGCGGGGTTCTTGAATGGAGTCAGCGGTTATCTGGGACTTCCTGCAAATCCAAGTCCTGGTCCTGGAACGACTTTGACGACGAGTACCACGAGGCGTACCACTACAACCACGACTTCTAGTCCTGCTCCCACAGGCGGTGTCCTTCAGTGGGGTCAATGCGGAGGTATGGGATATACTGGTCCAACGGTATGCCAGTCGCCATATACCTGTGTTGCAAATGGTGTTTGGTGGTCGCAATGTGAATAGGAATTAAGTGTCACTTGACAGATATTGAGCTCATGAGAAACTAGCAGAGGCGAGGAAACTATGGTAGAAACCGTATCTTCTAATGGCGTTGTTTGGGCGAAATTTGTTATAATACCACCTTAGATTAATTCAGAGACAATTAAGTTACACAGCGTTAAGCTCTGGGACATAGGTACAGTACTTAAAGTGGCCAGACAGCCAAGCTCGCTTACCTCCCTACTCTTTACTCTCTGGAAAATAAGTGTTATAGGCAGGGAACAGCCCTGGAATACAAACTCCTAAGCCAATTGTTTTGTTTGATGCATGTGGAATTATATTAGTTCTGATTTTGGGGTGGATTTCCTAAGCTGTCTGGTCCCTTTACTACATAACTGAATATCACACTACGATATTTACAACATGCACTGAACACCTCGCTATGCACGTTTTAATCACTCTTGAACTTTCTCAAAATCGTCTTAGTTCAATACACCTTTGGACGCTTATAAATCTACGCATATGTTTTCTTCCCAGCCTACTAGATAGGCACAGTGTAATAGAACCACCTACCTACCTACCGTCAAATTACCACAGTGGATAAACCAGCTCTGTCCTTCTACAATCAATTAGGAAACCCTACTGCACCACAATAACACCAACCATCGCGCACCCCAAAAGTCTAAACCTTGAACGACATTTTCAATTTTTGGGCGCTGTGGCAAATTAGGGGGCGCAAAGGTGGGAAGGGGGGTGGGGGGAGGGGATGGGGTAATTAAGATTTGTAATGCAACGAATATTACCATAACAGCTCAACAACCAGGTGTGTTTGAAAACATAATAGAAGTATAATAAAATACAAGGAGAAACCAGAATATCTGGTGAGCGTGTTTTGAAGAATTGCTTGTTGTTGTTACTAATCGAGGGTATTCTTAGGGGGAGGGAGGAGATGGGAGGACTTTATTGTCGGGTACAGTATACGAGTACAACTAAAAACATTGGCCAGAGTTGGGGAGCTCACCAACTGACATGTGTCAATCTGTAATTTCTCCTTGAAAGTACTACTGCAATATCACTGATTATTTTCACCTGGGTTATTTCCTAGTCTCGAGTAGGTACAGATCTATCTGGTAATAGTAAACGGATCTCGTCTCATTCCTCCCTGTCCCATGACCCCCTCCCATACCATGAAAAGAATGAATGAAAAAGAACAAAAACGCCATTCGCTATGCCCTCCCAGCTTCCGTAAATCATCTATATATCATCCCTCGTTATCAATCAAATTATGTATTTCCATTTTCCCTTTACCACCTCCACCTTTCCACGGTCCTATACAGATTTCCGTGTCTGGCACATCCAGGCTATCTCACCGGAATCTCCCAGACACCATCATTATCAGCCTCATCATCACCACTATCAAGCTGATCCTCTTCATCATTCAATGCCATCTGAACAAACATCTGAATCCAAGCCTGTTGAGCCGCCTCGGCACCTCTTGGTGCAATCGGTCCCGCATCGCCGTCAAATCTTGGATCTCTTCTCATCCTCTGTCCGCCACCACGACGTCTCGCTTGACCTACTCCTGCGTTAAGCGCTGGTGGTATACCTCGAGGACGATGTCTTCTATTCCCACGTGGTGGATCAGGTACAGCAGGGGCTGGGGCAGGAACAGGTCGGGGCGGGAGCTGATTGATGCGAAGAACGAGAGGGCCTTCTCTTTGCAACGGTTCTTGGGGAGCAGGGTCGACAGGAATTCCTAGAGCATTCTGGTCCTCGGGTTCTTCGATTTCAGGGTGTTGCTGGATAACTTCTACTACCGCTTCTTCTTCTTCTTCCTCTGGGCCGGGAACTTCATCGGGTCGCACTCTTCCGGCTTCCTCTCCGTCGCCTTCTTCCAAAGCCCAGAGTTGCATGTAACAGTTGGTGCCTTCGGTATTGTAATGTGCGTACGGATTTGAAGGAGATAGCCAAGCAGAACACAAATAGCAAAAGTGAGAACGGCATATGAAGCAAATCATATGATTGCAACCGTGAGTCTTCTGAGCGGGTGTTGCACAAGTTGGGCATGGAGCTGTGTGTTGTTTGAGATATTCGAGAGAAGCCTTGTCCTCTTCTGTGATCTCGCCCGTGGCGGTTCTCGGGATACATATCTCGAATTCTCCATGCCATCCTTGAAAACATCTGTTGCAAAAAGCAAAAGAGCAATCTTCACAAACAGCAAGCCGATCCTTTCCAGCAGTATATTTGGGCTTTTTGCCCCCCTCCCGAGATTCTTCGGCTTCAGATTCCTCACCTGAACTCACATCGTCGAATGCATCTGGTTTCCGGTGTTTACTGGATCTAGCAGCTCCTTGGCACCATTTTCGTGGACAATATATTGTGTTCTTATCGGACTCCAGACTAGCCTTGTATCTCAATCGCACATAACGTTCGACCATCTCAGGCTGGAGAGGAATTTGATGAAGCTCGCTTGGACTCAGCTGAGTTTTCACTTTACGCTTCTTGGATTGGCCATCATGTGCCTTCTCACGGTCTTTAGCACAAGAAGGATCAAGACATCGGACAAATGCCAAATCACCCTCGGTGATAGCATTGTTGTAAAAGTCCTGGAGACATTGAACGCAAAAGACGTGACCACAATCAATCATGCGATGACACACAAGCCCTTTCTTGGGATCCAAGCAAACACCACAATCGAAAGTCTCCTTTTGAAATGCCGCAAGGGTGGCCCGAATGTCTGAATCTATCAAGGAGATCTTGAAATCTTGTGGGATTTCAAGAGTCTTCCCCTCCTCTGCAAAACCAAAGGCATTTTCAGCAACTTGTTGCAGAAAGTCAATGTATCCATAAACGACTACGCTTCGGCCAGCTTCCTCCCACATCGTCTCTCCATTCGCTTCGAGTTCGTCTAGGTAGGTTCGTGAAAGCCATGATAGCGATGTCTCTAGTCTAAAAATCGGTGGTTTCTCTTCCGGATACCCTTGCGGCAATGTGATGTGGAGCTGAAGTGATGGTAGGTAGGACAAGTTATGCGATTCGAGGTTCTCTTTTGCAGATGCAGCAACCACTTCGGTACTGATTTGACTCGATGTATCGGACTGTGGCGGGGTAGGTAGAATGCCAGAGGCAGCGGGAAAGACGACCTTGACGGGATTTTGAGGGTGCACTTGAAGTTCGATGAATGCGGAAAAAGAGTTGTTGGTATCTAAAACAATCTCAGGAAAGATTGCGGCGAGACATTCGAGTTCTGTGGTACGCTCATCGTCGTCCATGGTGGGCGGGATGTCACCGTTGGGTCGAGGGGTCGACTTTTGCTTTTGAGATAAGAGCGTGAAGGATCATAGGTAGAGATCGCGAGGCACGTTGGTAACTTCGGACCTGGATGAGGGTGAGGGTGAGGGTGAGGACGAGGATCTCAAATTTGGATTTGAATATGGAGGTGGCGAAGATACTGGTGGATGACTGGAAATGGGAATGTTCTGGATGGCAGGTCCAGGTTGAAGATCAAGGGGCGTAGATAATATTTGAACTGCCCGCTAAAAGTGATTGGGATGGTGGATGGAGACGGGTCAACCTCGGCATGACTCAAGCGCTCAGACTTTTCTGCACTGTGCGGGTGCCAGTGCCAGTGCAGCTTCACCTCCACCAGATTGAGCCAAGCAGAGTCCATACTGATACCTCTGTCGAGAGTAACACCAACGTATTTTTGTTGTGTGTCTATACTTGTACCTATATGTCAGACCAAAACTTTACTTACAAGAACTTCTCTTCTCTGCAGAGTTCTGAAGGAATCCAAGCATCGTCACCCACCTTTGATGTTGAGTCTGAACTTTTCCCAAGGCAGAGGCACACGACCAGAAAAGTATATCAAGAATCTGCATAGCATAGCCAACGGCAGAGGCACAGGCACAGGCACACAACCATGGCAGATACTCCATTAGCATCTCTGTCATTGACCCATGTTCATTATGTACGTACTCTTGTACCCGTCTCATCTACCAGAATCCTTTCTAACTAAGTCCTCGTACTCTCTCAGGATCCCCATGATCCCCTGTCCTACTTCTGCGCCTGGCTCGCCCTCATCCCTCAAGGCCTCTGTGTAGTCTACGCAACCTTAATATGGTCCACCCGCGAAGTCGAGATTCTCCTCATGTTCGGTGGACAAATGGCTTGCGAGGCACTGAACTTTGCCTTGAAGCGCATTCTCAAGGAAGAAAGACCCAAACAAATGCACGGGAAAGGTTACGGGATGCCCTCTTCACACGCCCAATTCGTCTCGTTCTTCTCCGTAAGCTTGACGCTATTCCTCCTCTTCAGACACGTACCGAAGAAGCCATCATCTTCGCATACACCATTAAGTATGGTGGCACGAGTACTGTTATCCGGGCTGGCGATGGCGAGTGCGGCATTGGTGGCATGGAGTAGGACATACCTAAATTATCATACGCAGAAACAAGTGATTGTGGGAATTGCGGCGGGTGTAGTGAGTGCGGTTCTATGGTTCTTGGCCACGACTGTGGTGAGGCAGATTGGCCTGTTGTCTTGGGCTTTGGATCAACCGCTTGTGAGGCTATTTCGGATGAGAGATTTGGTTATTGAGGAAGACTTGTGTCAAGCGGGGTGGGAGAAGTGGGAGGTGAAGAGATTGGCGGCTTCTAGCAACGCCAATGGGAAGAAATCTAGGTGATGACGGGTTCAATGTAGGAATCTCAAAATGAGCATTTCTCTTGGATGTTTTGTCTGCCTACGCTATTTGAATCATTCTCATAGGTCTTGGCATGGATTTCACCACTTCGTATAATAAGCTTTTGTTTGCTACATGCTTGTACCCCCGCATGATGGCTGGAGAGTTTCAGCCAACAAGTTTATATGGACGACACCGTACATTTTATTGCCTGTACCTGTCTCGAACCGCAGTCTTTTTTGTTTTTATATGGTTTGATTACTCAATTGCTTGATCGGGGGTTTCTGTACTACACGTTGGCTGTTCCTCTTGCTCTGCGTTGGCCACCGGTGGCACTTTCCATTTCGGGCCCCCACTCGTTTCCCAAGCAAGTTTGCCGAGGCGTTGAACTGCAGAAGCCTCATCGATTTTGCTTTTTCATCGGATGTGAGGATGCGAGCGGTCGATTATTTGTACCCGTGTCTATTTGCTAGCCGCCTTATTTGAGCCTCAAGCTGAATATTTGACGCTGTTCTCTCGGTTGCAAGATTACCGAAAGCTGACGAGTGTCGGGATGCACAAGTTCGTCATCACTTGAGGGTCTCATATGTCTCAAGAATTGGTTGCACAACCACATGTTGATAGGCCAGCCCTATTGTAATTGATGGAAGGATTGGCGGTGCCGTATCGTATCTGATCCCATGTCTTGTCAGACCCGATCTTTGCATTGTGGGATGGAATCGTACCCTTCCTAAAGTTTCAATAGAAAAGCATTCTCATACGCCTCATGGTGATGCCACAATGATCGTTTTCCGTCGATATTGTAAGTTGCTCATGCTCCCTTTCATCTTGTCGCATTCTCTTACATCAAGGTGTAATCGCCGACTTTGGTTCTTACCGCTTGTTCATACTTCCTCCCTCGAGCGGCTCTTCACATGTCGGGTTACTTCTTGATCCACGAGGCTTTCTCGTGGGCGGATTGTAAGATGCCATGGAAAGTGTCCAGATTGCTGGTTCTCAAGATCCGATTCTGGCTTGAATTGGCTTTCTCAGTCTGACCGTGGCTCTTGCTGACAGAACTAGTTCCAGCCAAAGCGACTTACCTACGGTAGGAGTAGGTAGAGACAGTTGTGATATACTATATTAAGAGATGAACGGACCAACTGTGCTAAGGGGCCTTTTTTAAGGCGTGGCCTGTCTTACACATCTGCATATGATAGATGGTATGCATAGGTCTGGCCCGAATGAGGTGCAAGGCCAGTCCGCGCTAGCAAGGTTCTCCGCCCCCAAAATTTGTTTTTGTCCAAGCTAGCCAGCTGCACTTGCCCACCCTCCTCACCAACCTCATCATTTGTCGCACTGCAGAAGCTCGCCGCTCAACCCAGCCGAAAAGAGATCTTGCCTATGCATTGAGATGATTGATATGCATCCGTTTGCGCCATGGCACCATGCGATGCCATGGCTATGGCATGCGCCCTTCAACGTAACTGGCATTGCAGGTGGCACTCGCTATCTCCCTCATGGGGCGTGATATTCAGTGATATTGTATGATTGAGGACTTCCAAGCGCAGCCGTGCAGAGAACCAGACCCCTCGGCAGACACTTCTTTTCTGCCCTCTGCCCTTCAACGCCACTTTCTCCATCTCCCACCTTCGATTGAGTATTTCGTCATGTCGTTCCCCAATTCGCGTTGTCTCTCGTTTCTTCTTCATTCGTACTTGTCGCACCGCAGATAGCAAACTCCTCATCAAACCCCTCTCCAGCACAGCACAGCATAGCACGTATAATAGAGTGCCTTCACTTCACCATCTGTCAATTCATGGCCTTTCCCCCTCCCACTCAATTATTCACCAGTGACCATGTCGTCCAATTCCAGCGAATACCGCAGCCTTCTCCGCCACGAAGGCAGCGATCTCTCGGATGCTTCAACTGCACTTGACACTCCTCAATCAACGCCTTCGATATCGTTCACCCATCGCCAGTCTGTTTATAGCGGACCGGACTCGCATGTGGCATCTCCCGATTTGATAGATCCAAGAACACCACCCCTCCACCATTCCATTGAGCAATACGCTGGAGTGCAAGGGCTCGGCCTGTCCAACAGTTCAAACCGCGCCTCGTTTCCTCGAAAGCCGGTGAGATCTCGAGCTGCCATGTCACCACCGTCTCCTTCCAATCCCTCACCATCTCCTTTCAATCCCTTCGCAACACCTCCCGAAGCCTCTTCTCCATCATCCCATTTACACCAACTTCACCGCCCTGGCAGAGATACGATTCATCCTACCATGGACCAGGTTTACATCCCGTCAACGAAGCAGACGAGGGCTTTCTACATAAAGGACGACCGTCATCCTTCCACGAGGAATTGACAGACACCCCCACCGGTGTGGGGAACGATGCCCAATTTGGCGGCATTCAAATGCTTAATCATAATGATAACAACACAATCGGTATGAAAGCGACTTGGCATTTACGTTGTAGCGCTGACACAAGCACAGGACTGATGGATGGTTGCCCATCAGCGCATGACATATATTCACCAAGAACTAACTGGTTGTCCATGTCGGTCATCTTTGCTTCGATATACTCGACTCTTTTCTCGGGTCTTTGGTTCCTTCTTGCCGTATTAGGTCCACGTTACGGTGGTTTGATACAATCAACGGGTGGTCGGCTTACCAGTTTCAATGCAAGAACAGTTTTTACCCTCCTCGCAAAGACGATCGAAATGACCTTTGTGACTGTTTTTGTTACGTTCTTAGGTCAAGTTTTGAGTCGGCGATCGTTGATAAAACTCGAGCGCGGCGTGACCATCTCCGAAATGACGATGCGAACTTGGGTCATACAGCCAGGATTCATGTTTACACATTTCCAGAATGTACAGCACGCCGGTCTATCAGTACTTGGGGCCATCACTATAGTTTCTGCACTTGTAGCGATGTTTTACACAACGGCTTCCGATGCTCTTGTATCGCCACATTTGAAATTCGGGAAAATCCATAAGATTGAGATGCTGGGACAGGTGCAAGCTAGTTATGCTCATGTCAGATATATGGAGGATCGTTGTCAAACTCCAACAGGCGCAGAGCTAGACACTGATAATAGTGGTGGCTCATGTAACCAGATTATGTATGCTGGACAGTGTACGTGTCTTTTGGCCATTCCATGCTCCACTGCTAACCTCTCATTAGCATATCACGATTCGATTGCGTACCTTCGTACATGGACACTAATAAAGGACGGTGGTGGCACAGGAATGGACGCGTCTTCCGATATGACCAAGAGGCCTGCTGCACCAAGCATGCTGTATGATAATACAACTGTTATTGGAAGTTGGATAGAGACCGAAAAGAGCAACATGACAGCTGCCTATGCCAAGCATAGTCGAATTATCAATGAGGTAAGTCTTGCTATGCCGCATGCTGGAGTATGGACGGCCGCAAGACATGAAAAGAATCGGATTCTTCAACCACAGCATCTTGACAATCTCGGAAAGTACGAATTGAAAGCCTCTGTCGCTAGCCCTAGCATCAATGTGCTTTGTGCAAATGCAAAAGAGACAGAGCTTAAGCCTATAGTTTTTGCGACCTGGCCGGATTCAGGTATGCCCCGCATCGTGAGCGATGATACTCTCACACCTCCAAAGGACTGGCAGCAGAGGGTACGGCCAGTTGACGGTCAAAAGTATTTGAATTCCACTGTGTTTGATGACATTTTCCATTGGGGAGAAAAGTATGAACGGCAGCCGCCAGTTTTTGCGTTGGTGAGTGCAGCAGTTTCATACTCAGTTTCTCTTAGCCAAAATGCATTACCCTGTCCATGAATCACATGCCGTCTTACCGCAACGATTTCAATGTTTTGAAACTGGATTTGAGATTGGCCTGTTTGTTTCATCACTCTAACGTTCGACAGTTTCCAGCGGAGTATAACTCGATTGCCAATTACTCCTTTGCACTAGGATCTTACGGGTCACATGTATACCTGCTTATCAAAGCTCCATCCAAGATCACGCCAGATTATACTATTTGCCAACTGAAATCTTTCCTTTCAGTCGAATGTAGCACACATTACAATGTAACAGGGAGCGCATCCGGGCATCTAGAGTCTCATTGTAACCATCCCGAAGATAGTATGGCTTACAAATCCTCCATGCCGAATGCAACTTCCAACCCCGCTCCGGACTGGCGTGACGTTGGTGCCGAATGGCTCAACGCTGTGTCTCTCAATAACGGACTCAACAACCAGAACGCTTCTAACGCGCGAGTGCTCAGTCACTTAGTTCAAGCAGAAGACGCGGTAGATAAGTCTGTCAAGTTGAATCCTCTCATGCCTAGTCTAGCGGAACAATTGGCCGTTCTAGCGGGCAACACACTCCTCGTCAGTTCCATGGGTTCGAGTTTCAAACCACAGTGGGAATACAAATGGAATTACCAACGCGGTCAACCCGAACACCCACACATTGATGAACGCTTCAATGCGACGGTAAGATCGCAGGAGTACGCATCTGGTTACTCAACGGAGTGGGAACGAATGTTCTACACGGTCCTCTTCTTGGCATTTGCAATCAACTTCTTCTGCCTCTTCTTCTTATTTTGGTATCCGGGTCTGGTAACGGATTTCACGGAACAAGAGAATCTCTTTGCCTTAGCTATGAACTCTCCACCAGCAAGCAGGTTGAGTGGAAGTTGCGGTACGGGACCGGAGGGGGAGCAGTTGACCATCAATTTCCAAGTTCACAAGGACGAGGGAAGTCAACATTATTATATTGTCGATCCGGGACGGAACATGACGGAAAGTGCAATTGCGATGAGGAGACGACAGCATAGGAGAGAGTTGCGTAGTCGGGATAGTTACCAGTTTTTAAGCTCCAGGAAGAATAGCTGGTTGTGATGGAAGGAGAATACGTACTCGAGTACATAGACTGAGTTGCAGGGTAATCTAATGAAAGGTTTTGGTAGAGCATGTAATGTGTTTTGGGTGCAGCTGGGAAAGGGAGAAAGTTGGTTGGTCGTATATATTCTTTTTTCTTCATTTCCCCCTCTATCAATTCACACGCTCCATGAAGCGAGGGAGGTTTGGGAAAGGGTTGTGATATCGAGGGTTGTTTGGTACTCAATACTGTACTCGAAGCGGTGTGGTGCCAGGCCAAGACAAAGGGGGCATTGTCGCTTAGCGAGGGGTCGAGATCCCCCACATTTTGTGGTACGTGCAAGGGTTGCCCCAGCTATTGACGTCATGGCATTTTTCTCCACACTCACATCATCACTCGTAATTTCATTTTCACGCTCAAATAAAGCAGTCATGTTTTGTTCGAGGACCGAAAGAACATGGACCATGCTGGATGTAATTGCAGAACCGGACGTCTCCTAAAAAATGAGAATATGACGGGATTCAGATATGAAGGGATTCAGATATGGAGGGAGATTGAGATGAATGCCACGAGGGGAGTACAGTACAAGGCGTGCAAGGTAGAGGAAGAGATCCGTTTTCGTCATACGGTAAGCGCGATCTTCTGGGCACACCAATCATTTGATATCTCCGAGTCCGCCCATCGCACTTTCCCCGCCAAAAACCAGAACAGGTGACTTTCCTGGCGATGCGATGCGTGTGATGGATGCTTGGAAAATCCGGTTGCGTGCCCTACGGCGTAAAAGGCGGGTTGTTGATCGACCGGATACAATCTTGGGTGCGCCACCCGTGGACACTCCCACTCCACCCCCAATGCTTAGAAACATCGATAATCCAATAGCGGGCATTCTGCATACGTCGTACCTGTCTTGTTATTGCGCTGCACTGCACTGCGTTACATCATTCGTCCCATATAAGTAGCTGGCTGTACCCGCTTAGCCATGTCGGATGTTCATTGTCCTTCAATACTCCTACCAGTTGATCCCTCCCAACCTCATCCGAGCCCCAACTCCAATTCACAACAACAACTACAGCAACCACGGCCCAAACTCCAACCCTCGGAACGACAGAAAGAAACTTCCCACTCATCTGGCTTTTCACAACAAGTTACTATCGTTTCCCAATCAGATCCATCACACACCCAAGCCCACAGCCACTCTAGCAGTTCCGAAACCTTCCTCAAACCACCCACATTCCTGGGTATCGGAAGTCGTAAACAATCCGACGCCCCCTCAGTACCGAGTATCAACCTCAACACTCCGGCCGTTCAACTCCAACCATCCCAAAAACAACATTACCTCGCCAAACTCGAGCCGGTAGTCAACATGGCAAAAGGCACTTTGTTTCTGAAGGGCCTCTCCTTCTTCCTTCGATTGATACAATTCGGTTGTACGGTTGTGATCTTGGGTATTTTTAGTTACTTCCTCGCTGTGCTCGCGAACCATGATTTACCCATCGCAACCTACATCCGCGCTGTCGAAGGAATCGCCGGTGCGGGAGTGCTGTATACGATAGTGGGACTCTTGTTAGTTTGTTGTCTAGGTGGAATTGCGATCTTGAGTTTCATCGCTATGTTACTTGATGTCGCATTTGCGGGAGCTTTTGCCTATGTGGCGTATGCGACGAGAGGTGGAAGAAGCTGTACTGGGATTGTGGATACGCCCCTTGGTGGAGGGGACGCCAGTGGTGATAACAGAGTGCCGGATGGCAGTGGTGGTTTCACTGTTTTGCCGAGTTTGAGAACGGCTTGTAAGTTGAATACGGCTTGTTTTGCGGTTGCTATTATTGCTGGGTAAGTCTTCTGCCTTCCTGTCAATTTCTATCAAGAGTAAGAAGCAACGCAATGCTAAATAATATTTACAGTGTATTCTTCCTTCTCTCCATCCCTCTCGAAGTCGCCCTCATCCGCCACCACAAGAAAGAAAAGGCCTTTGGTCCTTCTCCCATGAACAACTATACAGCCGGACGCTCTCCCTCGCGTAAGTTCTGGCAAAGAAAACCAAAGCATACCGCCGGTGATGTGGAGAAACCAGATGCATTACCAATGCATGCTACACCTGCGGATGCAAGAATGAGCTATGCAACCGAGAGTACCGCCGTTACGGATCGGTATGGAAATCCTGTTGCGCCCTCGAGTGTGGGTACGGGGTGGCAGACGACAACTACTACCCACGTGCCAGCAAATTCTGGGTATGGCCGGCCAGCTGCGAACTTCTAAAAGCGAAGCGTAGAGTTATACCGGGCTGGTTCTGTATGATATTTCTTTTGTGTTGCGATTAGCGAAAGGGGAATGGACTGTTGGTGGGGGGGGGCTTTACGATACCCATGAGTGACCGAGAAAATGCTGGTTAGAAGCAGGTGGTGTAGCTTTTAGGATTATTAGTAGAGTATTTAATACATAATATTATTGGAAAGCCTTTCTTGTGTTTTTGAGCAAATTACTTGGTCAATAAGATGGGGTTTTCTCACACTTATCTCTGTATGAGATTACAGGTCTTCAATCTTGGAATTTCCCATACGAAAGACGGAAGTTGGTCACCCCTTTGTTGTTCGCTAAACTGGTTTGCCTCGCTTATCCCCCATCTTTGAGATCTGGTTCACTTCACATTGCCGAGAGCGGGAATGGGCAAGCTAACCGACGATTAGGGTTTGTGAAAATTTAACTTTTTCGTTGTGTATTTCGAGTGAGGGTAGTGGGAGTCTGGAACCTGAAGCAGGGGAGTGATTATATGTACTATTAAGCAAATTCGAGATGTCCTTCGGGACACCATTAGTACAATAGTAGCAAAAATCACATTTTAAAACAACATCTCTTCTAGGGTGTGCTTTCCCGGAAGACTTACAGTAGAATAGCGGGAAAAGAAAAGTGGGGTTCGGTGATTGGGTGATTTAAGCTTACTGTACAGTATTTCCGAACAGTGAGAGAGCGGTGGGAAGGAAAAGTTGTAGGTGCCACAGATGTTGAAGATCTAGCTAGCTACTGTGAAATTACAAACACAGATATCTGAAGTGAGCTGAGAAGAACTCCATGTGCTTAGGGTCTTATGAATCCTGGTTCGAGGCCCTCGGTTTTAATGTCTTCAATATAATGGTTTGTTGTTGAGAGCTGTTAGCTTTCTTTCCCTGGAGTCTGGGTCTTGTATGAGTCTTTAAATTTGATGGGTTCTCGTGCAAGAGATACCTCTGCGATACCTTTTATTAGGAAAGATCTACGGATTTTTGTTCGATTTATTTCTAGGTCGTTGACTCGATAATCCTCCCTTGGTATCAAGTGCACATTCCCCTTTATAACCCCAGGCCATATCTCCTCATACAGACGTTGAAAAATCCACAGAACTCTAAAATCAGATATCGATATTCTTCGCGTTGGTCTGCACATATTTCAAGGGCTATGTTGTCCCATCCCGCCAAATTTTGATTCACTGTCCACCATGCCGCTTTGGACTCGTCTTTATCGAGCCACAAATAATCTTCCAAGCAGCTTCGCTTACATAACTGGCCCTCTTACGCGAACGCGCTACTCAACCATCCCAAGCCATCTCTACAACCGCGACAACGTACAACGCGTCCCAAGAGGATAAGAATCGTAACCCCCGCCCCCCAAAAAGGGGCCAAAAAACAAAACGGCAAAACTCTAGCAGGCGCGATAGAACTGTTGCATATGGGGCTAGAGAAATCCACCTTCGTAGACAGTGGGATTTTTTCCGCGGGAACAGCTCCGTGTGCTTGTCGCTTCTGGGGATCACATTACACACTCGACTGACCTGACCAGGCGTACAGTATCAGGTTTTGTGATGGTCAGACGTGTAATTTGAAGATATAAATGTAATTTTGAAAATTGTGGGACTTGTGGGCTAAGCGAGGGGAGGGGGAGAGGGTGAATTGGCGGGGGAGCTTCGGGCTTTGGTTGGATGGAGGCTCTAGGTTGGGCCCTTGCTGTGGATTTCAGATGGAGCATCGCACTATTCTTTTGAGTTGGAGTAACTAGGGTAATATCGTGCAACTTTGCGAAATGCTTGACATAAGTAGCACTCTGTTCCTGTGGCGTTTTGAACCAGCGGCAATTTTGGAGGTTGATTCGGTATCTTTGTATTGTTTTTGTGTACTCCAGGAGAACATAGATATGGTCCTTAAGAAAATCCGAAGTTCTGAAATTCACCGGTGAACAAATGGCAGGTAAACAAATGCTGCCTATGGCTAGTGCTGGGTCAATGATAAGCTAGTGCGGTAACGGCACGCTTCCGTCAAGTAAGACATTAGCAGTATCGAGAACAAGATTAAGTACCGGCAGTCATGATTGCGAATTGAAATCAAAATAAAGCACATATAACTTACATGCCAGATCGAGTTGTCCGTTATCGCCGAGAGATATTTAGATACAATACGTCCGATTGCGGTAGGGAGAACGCTAGGCAAGTTCGAGTTAGCATAAAGTTGTTTTCGCTATGGTTCAAGTTGTAAGTTTCATATCATAGGCATTGGTAGAAATAATCGTCAAATCGACCATGACACAGACCTTTGCATACCAAACCCCCAAGTATTCGTCCTCAGATAGTGACCTGGAATTCGCCGCAATCAAAGCACCGGAATGAGAACCTAGGCGAAGCTAGCCGGTACTACAAAAGAGAGAAGGTATCTAGTAGAGACTGCCATTTCACCAAGAACTGTTTGACCATGAGATTACGACTAGTTCCCGAAGACACATCAAGGGAGAGGACGGGAGTTCTAACTCTCCATAGGCTGAAAGTTTTCCGAAGTTCTCCGACGAAGGGAACAGTGAGGCTAGCCAGGAGTTCGGGTATGGTTTTAACGGTAATTTATTTACCCAGTCCCTCGGAGTCTACCCAGAACGAACCCAGGGCATATTCGGCCAGGGCAAATCGCATGTAAGTCAGTAGGTAAACAATATTCACAGGATGCGAAACAGACATCTCACCAGGAAGAGCAGTTCTTGGAGCTTGATCATCGCAATGCAACTGCACGAGACCAAAGCGCAGAAGAAAAATAATAATTGTGGTCACGATAAGAATCATCATCGCGGTGATAACCCTGTAAATGCTGGGCCCGCGATTCACATTTGGATTGGGTCACACTATGAGTGATTTGGATGCCATTAACAAATTGAAACCACTTGAATAAGGCGTTGAGAATACCTGGGTGCGAAGGCATCCAGAGGTTAGTACGGTACGTCAGAAAGATTTGAGACTGGGCTGAATTGTGCTGATTGCAAGTTTCATCTGGCAGGACTCCTCAATTATGTACCCAATCCTCAGAGACGCCAGGCGACAAAATACGTTGAATGGGGGTTCATATGAGTGGTTTTTTATGCTCTGGGGGATATCATCTAGTTGGTGTGAGAATTATCTATGTAGGAAAATTAAGAGCCGACAGTACAAACAAAGAAGATGCCAGTATCCAGGTAGTGGTATAGAATTTCCTTGGCATACCTAATAGAGCTTCAGAACTAAATGCAATGCAACATCACATTCTTTTTCAAGATCTCGCTTGGCCTGAACAATTCCTGGTTCAAAAAGCGGCGAGACTGGAAACCATTAACTGCTCGGTGGGAAACGTAATTGGCAGGTCTTATGAATTCATTATCCGCTTAAAATATGCTCACAAAGGGTACATCTTATTCAATAAATGCCACTTCGATAGCATTTTCAGGAAGGTTTTTAGAACAGTGTCTTTGAGCAGACTTGGGCACGATAAAAACGTTTGGATATTGGGGGGGAGAGGGAGGGTCCACGATAATTATCGTATCGTAAATATATAACGTGCATGTATAGCGAACCGGCCAAACAAGCGAACCGGCCAAAACCCGGCGACCCCACCACACCTCCACGAAATATTAAATTTCTCTACAACGAAGGATGCCTCTGAAAAATGACGAAAGCCGGTTAGTCTTAGCTATCCAAGCTATGCAAAAAGACCCAAATTTACGTGCTCGAGCTGCTGCCAGGACCTATTCTGTAGACCACCGGAAGCTAGGTCGACGTTTGCTTGGTATACCTTCACGACGCGATATTTTAGCCAATTCACGGAAAATGACCGAGCTAGAGGAATCAGTACTTGTTCAACATATCCTCGACCTAGCTACAAAAGGATTTCCTCCGCGGATATCTGTAGTTGAAGATATAGCAAATCGACTTCTTGAAGCACGCGACGCGCCACGCGTCGGGACGCGTTGGGCTTATAACTTTGTTAAGCGCCGCCCAGAACTCCAGACACGCTTCCAACGAAAATACGACTATCAGAGAGCTAAGTGCGAAGATCCAGAAGTCATTCGTGGCTGGTTTGAGCTTGTACGAAACACAATAGCGAAGTACGGAATCTACGATGCAGATATCTACAACTTTGACGAGACTGGGTTTATGATGGGCGTTATCTCAACTGCAATGGTTATTACAAGCTCAGAAGGACGTGTAAAAGCAAAAAGAGTACAGCCTGGTAATCGGGAATGGGTTACAGTAATCCAGGGGGTTAATGCCCAAGGCTGGTGTGTTCCACCGTTTGTGATTGTTGCCGCAAAAAATCACCTCGCTTCTTGGTACCAAAACAGTGGATTTCCACCTAACTGGGTGATTGCTATTACTGAAAATGGTTGGACAACAAATGAGAAAGGCATGGATTGGATTCGACATTTTGAGAAGCATACAAAGTCCCAATCTATTGGTGGTTATCGTCTATTAGTCCTCGACGGCCATGAAAGCCACCACTCCGACGAATTTGAGGAATATTGCAAGGAAAACAACATTATCACTCTTTGTATGCCTGCTCATTCTTCTCATATACTCCAGCCACTCGACGTTGGCTGTTTTAGCCCTTTGAAAAGGGCATATGGTCAGCAAATTGAAGATATGATGCGGGCTCAGATCATCCATATTACTAAGGATGATTTCTTTCCTGCCTTCCACGCCGCATTTAATATTGCAATGACAGAAAGCAATATCCGAGGAGGGTTCCGAGGGGCTGGGCTTCTTCCATTTGACCCAGAAAGTGTAATTTCTACACTTGATCTTAAGCTAAAGACGCCAACGCCTCCAAACTCCCCCCCGTATTCCGCTCAGCCTTGGGTTTCCCAGACACCAAATAACCCTACTGAAGCCTTATCACAGACTGCATTTATTAAAGATCGAATTTTACGCCACCAAAGTAGCTCTCCAACCCCTATTTACGAGGCCATTGACCAGTTTACGAAGGGTGCATCAAAAGTAATGCACCAGATAGTACTATTGAAAGCTGAGAACCAGAGACTTCGACAAGCAAATGAAGTACTAAGTAAGCGCCGTAGAGCTAAAAAAACACGCCTACAGCAAGGAGGATCACTTAGTCAACAGGAAGCGCAGGACCTACAGGATGATAGAGACGTTGGTGAGCAGGTAATGCAGGAAATAAAGAGAAGTAGTGGTCGGAAGCCGAGGGAAGAATCACGTGCACGGCGCTGTGGCAACTGCGGAGAGACTGGTCATAATACGCGCACCTGTAATATTATAGAGGAAGTATCTGAGGAAGAAATTTCTGAATAGTGTTTTTTAATTAGAGGCGTTGTGGTAGAGTTCTTACAATTTCAATCGCGAGTGTAGAAAATTTTGGCCGGTTCGCTTGTTTGGCCGGTTCGCTATACATGCACGTTAGACGATACGATATCGGCTTTTTTATAATATCCGATATAAAATCAATTATTGTGGAAAACCTGTAAATCCGGCTCCGGACTAATTAGAGTATATGAATCTAAGACCTACTAGCTATCCTAGTAGGAGTAGAAAAGTCGATATCTTATCTATAAACGGTTATAGATAAATAGTTACTAAAATGTCTAAAGTTATAAATAAATTACAACTTTTTTCTACGTAGTTTTATATTTATTTCTATACTTATTTCTATAAGTTACTTATTTTTACACTTATTTCTATACTTTTACAGCTCGAATCACTTAGTTAAATTAAGTATATACAGAGGTTATAGGTAGGGATAAAAAAACGACTAAGTTTACGTATAGGTAGGGATAGGAGGGAGTAAAAACGACTAAGTACACTTATAGGTAGGGATAGTAGGAGCAAGTGAGGGTGGGGGAAGGGTAGTAATATATAGGTAGTACTCGGAAGTACGTGCGTAATAGGATCTATAAGCCTAAACTCTTATTAAAGTCTATTCCTAGCTACCGGACCGGTAAAAGTACTTAGCGAAATCGAGAAAACTCGTCCTATACTTAATAGAAAAAGGTCTTATAGAGAACGCTATAGGGATAAATAGACGACTATTAGAGACTAATAGAGCCTTTTATAAAAAAACTATCTTTTTAAAAAAAACTTCCCTTATATAATCGGTTGTTAATACAGTATCGACCGCGTATAGATACCTCATCTATACCCGCTCCTACCTACTAGGAGGGTAAGCGAAGCGATTTTACAGGGGTAAGTTCTTTTTTTAGGTTATTAATACGGTATCGACCGGGTATAGATAAGGAGGACTTTTCTGCTCCTACTAGGTATACTCCTCGTACTACTAAATAATACTATAAGAACAACTACTATCTATACTAATACCTTATTTTATCTATGACTATAACTTATTTAAACGTCCTAGGTCTTACTCTACGAGTACCTAAGGACTTGTTATAAAAATTAGGTTACGTTTAAATTATATAAACTACTCTTTTTATTAATATATTAGAATTGTTGTCCTAGAAGCCCTCTTAAAGGGCCCCTAAAACGTACTAATTTTAGGTACAAAATATCGATATTATCACTCTTTAGACGATAAATTATCAGTATCGTGGGAATATATATCAGCGATATATCGCGATGAAACGATAAATATCGTCATCGTGCCCAAGTCTGTCTTTGAGGCTTTGTTGCTAAAGAGATTTGGCTTATGGACTTATGGCCTGGGTAGCTCCTGGTAATAGTATGTGCTACCTGAAAATCAAGTAATCAAATTTTAATATCTAAGCTGTCCATCGAGCACTAATATCGTAGCTATTGCCCTCTAGGAACTCTACTGTTGCCTGTCACTTCTTTGCTACACACTCTATTTCGCCGCGTTTACGACGATTCTTATTGGTAATTCAAGGGAAGTCCTTAAGATGCCCCTATTTAAACACTAAATTAATTCTACAAAATCAGCATACCATGCTACAAGAAAATGGCGGGGCTTCCTGGTTGCAATGAACACTAAATGACAGACAAAAACCTTAGATGCCAAACATGTAAAGTGCTGAACTATCGTTAGCAGACGAGTTTCAAATGAAGTTTTCTTTGCGAAGAAACTTACCTAGGTTAAAACCTGTATCACTATGCGAAGAGCTATATTTGTAGGCCGATACGTGGAACGCGCCACAGTAGAGGTTGGAGCGACCGTTATGGAGCCTATATCGACTCCTTGAGAAGGAACGGAGCTCGGAGCTCTTCAAGAATGTGATAATTGGTCTAACCACTCCAGAATAGGAAACATGGAATAAAACAATCCCAGAACCTTCCGTGATAGTTTATATACGGAGATGGACAAAGTGATTTTCGACGAGGATAGCCATAGTAAGATAATTGCTGGCTTATTTTGAGGCAATTTAAGCGAGTCGCGTAATAGTGTAGGTACCCAAAGCACTTTCCAGGATTCAGCCAAAATTTCTACTCAAAGATATTATATCTCCTGGACCGCCCGGGGGTTTTCCTCACAGGGAATTAGCACCCCGTTATTTTTCGCACCAAAATTTACACTAAAAAAGTCGTGCACGTCCTTGATCTATATGAAAAAACCCCCGGGCGGTCCAGGAGATAGCAGAGATTAGCCAGGTACTTTGTTAAAGAATTAACTTAAAGCGTGAATCGTACAAATAGGGACTAAATTCAATCATAGAGCCTTTTCTCAAAATACGACAGCTGTATTCCCCTGTATATCAGGTTTGCAGGACGCAGTCTAGGGTCTACAAATAATACCAAAAGTCTTATATTATAGAGTCAAGTCGAGTTACTCTAATAATCAAACATACCACAGAATTCAAGATCCAAGGCCTCATGATATCAATGTGGTCTCAGGGATGTCCCATTTCACTGCCATGTAGATTTTGAAATTAATTAATTCAGGCTACCTGAAGTAGCGCCTAAGGATCAGCTCTCTCCTGAAACAATTATAGAAGGAACGCCATTGTTGACCTGGGATAGTACTATTTCGGGTCTCTGCCTCCTAATAATATGTAGTTCCAAATCTACTAGCGTCGCTGTTTCGTAAGGAACTGCGGACGAACAAAGATACAACGACAGCTTTACAAAAGCCTACTCAATAACTCGAGTACTACTTAGAGTTACCCAGATTTAAGTTGAGTTGAGTGTAAGTAGCAGACTTGGTTAAGTTAAGTTAAGTAGTAGATTTAACTATTCAAGTAGTACTAGAGTGGTTTATGATAAATACTATAAAGTATAAAAGACGACTTTTTCTTGTAATATTTCCTCGACCCTACCTATAAAGAACCGCTAATGTTCTAAGCTAACAGTCCGATTTATATAGAGATTAATTAGAAAACAATAAAAAAGGGGGGGAAGGACAGTAGGTAGGAGTAGACTGAGCCTTCAAACGATTTTCGCCCCCTAGCTAGATATTCATAACCGCTAAGCACTTGTCGCTGGGATTTATATAAGGGGGGAAAAGGGGTCAGCTGAATCCGAGGAGTCGGACCGGTGTTGATTCCGTTCTCTCAGGGAAGGTGCCTTTTGGTCTTCCGTTCCGAGCAGTTTTCTGTCTGTCTTGAAATGGTGTATTTTAGTGAATCGGTGGGGTTTCTTGTCCCTTCGTTGTCGATTTTCCCTGTGGTTCTGGCTCGGGCTGTTTTGAGAATTGCTCTGGTTCTGTGTCTTCGTATTTCAGGCTCCTGTGTCTGTGGTTACTCCTCGCTGTGCCTGCTCTGCTCGACTCTCGACTCTCACTTTGCAGTGTTCGACGTCTCTCCCGATGGTTCTCTCTTCTCAACTTCTCGGTTTTTCCCCTCGTAGTGTCGATCGCCAGAATTAAAGGGTTTGAAGGTGGATGGATTGACTAAGGCTAACTAGCTAGCTGGACTAGAGATAACTAGAGTAGGTAGGTAATGCCAAATACTCACGTGACCTAACACTGGTCACCCGACGCTCGCCCGATCCCCTCCATACTACTAAAGTAGTACTCAACTCAATTCACTTCCAACGCTGTACAACGACCATCAAACCCGAACAGTTCAAGCCATACACTGGTTGTCACGGCACAAGACTCCTGCACTCCTGTCTCTACTGCCTGACTCACTGTCTCGGTTGCCTAGGTGAATGCCTATTACTCTAGAGCCTTCCACTCGGTCAATATCCTCTTATATTAGAGCCGCTCCGCTCGCTCCTAGCTAGCTTCTCTCTCTATTCGTTTATTTCTTTCGCATTATACCCTCGTCTTCTAACGCTAAGGCTAACATCTAAGATATAAAGCTTGAGTCTACTAGATTAAACTAGGAGTTTAATATAATTTTATACTTTCGTATTCTATACTTTATACAAGTTAGCTATTACCTAAACATTAATTAAAGATCCTTACGAGTTACGTAAGAATACTAATTTTCGTATTTATTATCCTACGCTTACTCTATTAAAAGCAACTTTAGTTTATATAACTTATTGGTTAGCTAGTATTATAGTAGAAGAAAAGGAAACTATAGACCGAGTTATCTTTACTAGAACCTCTTATATATAATTCTAAGACTTTTTATATAAGTTAAAATTATATATTTATATCTTATCTAATACCTTCTTATTAAATTAGCTTTTCTAAAGCTAAAAGTAAAGATTTTAATAAATAGTACTATACTAGATGACTTAGCTAGTTAGTACTTATAAACTTTCTTCATATCTATTTACCTAATAAATAAGAGAGTTAACTAAAGAGCTAATAGTACTCTTATTTTATAGCCTTTTTTCTACTAGTATTAGTATAATAAAAGTAGTTCTTCTAATAGATTCGAGAAAAAGTATACTTAGAGTATTTCTATAAGTTATACTAATTTAGAGAGTTAAGTATAAGTTAATTTATTTATTTTCTCTACTAATTATTTCGAAACCTATATTTTTATTTAAACGAGTTTAACTAACGAGAATATATAGATAAAGCTAGACCTATTAAATTATAATTAAAAGTTTCTTCTTATATATAAACAGCTAACCGTTTAATTTTCTAATTAAATTCTTAAATAAGATTAGATAATTAAAATACTATAAGGTAGTCGCTGTAACCGTGTGGAGTGAACCACTGCTTGCTGTGATGAATACGGAGTCAAACGGAAACTGCTGTATTGAGCGAACAACTAAGTGAGGAGGAGAGAAAAGAGTTCCAGAGGAAAGGAAGCTTAAATACAGGATGCCAGCGGCACGCACGTGCCGTGCTACACGTGACCAGACCCCAGTCCCTCCAACTCCGTAACAGTCGCGATTATTTATTTCTACTATTTATCCCGATTAAGACCTTTCTTGTATTATATATACCTGATTTGTTCGATTTTCTTAGATATCTCGTTAAATGATTTCATCTAAAATTCTATAGAATTATAATACTAGAGTACCTTTGTTCGTACAGATTTCACTTTTTCATGTGTTCAAATCTCACAGTTTCACTAATCACTTTGGCACTAAAACACCATTATCATCACAGAAAGAAAGTTACTTCTCAATTCCTCTATACAAAACCACTAATCTAACCCTAATTCTCCTCAAAAGACCGAGGTCTTGCCAACAACTCCTGTCTCTGAGCATACATCTCCCTTGCTCGCTCATCCTGAGCCTGTACCATGGCTCGCAACCATTCAACCTCCGCTCGCTCGGAGTCCAGCTCCTCCTCCTTCTCTGCGACTGCCTTCAAGACAGCCTTCTGGCGGATATCCGCTTCGACTCGGGGGTTGCTTCTTTGTGAAAGAAGCTTTTTGTTCTCCTCCCTCGCCGACTCCAACTCCTTCCGCAACTCCGAATTATCAGCCTCGGATTTGTGCAATTTAGCCTCGAGGCCGGCGACCTTTTCCTCGGAATGTGCGAGGTTTAGGCTCGCTACCTTGGCCTCCTCCTTGTATTTCAAGCCCAGCGTTTTCATCTTCTCGAAATTCTTGCTGGTCTTCTCGATCGTATGTTCATGGAAGGCTTTCTGGCTCGAAAGCTCCTTGTCCGCGAGAGCGACCCGGGTTTCCAGCTCTTTGATTGAGGTGGTGTTGGAAAGGATCTCCGCCTCATGCCTTCGTTTAGTACCGAGCCTCTCCTCCTTCAATTCCGTAACCTCGGCTTCAAGACGGGCTTTGAAAGTTGTCGCCTTCGCAAGATCAGCCTCTGCCTTCGATCGCTTTGCATCCGAAGCCCCAAGCTCTTTGCGAATCCTGGGCAACAACTCTTTCAAAATCCCGCCGAGGTGCATGTGCATACTGTACCTGATCGATCGGCATTCCTCGCTTCGTACTCGCTTAATTCTGCCCTCGTCGCTATCCTTCTTTTCTGGGAACTGCCTGACGAAGTCCTTATAAGCGTTGAAGGTTGACAAGCAAGATTCAATGTTTTTCGTGGTAGCCTCTTCCATAAAATGGCGAACCCACGTTGGTCCACCTTTCAATATCTTGCGAATATCTTGTCCTTTGAAAGCTTGACATAATATCTCCACTGGCTACTCGAATCCTTGTGTGAAAACCGTTGCTGGGTCACATGTGTCAATGGAGATCTCGGCAGGAGTGATGTCTATCAAGACGTCTTTGGATCTCATCTGGTCGCCAGCTTTTGGCTCTTTGGCTCTGTTGAAGGGATTCGAAGGTAGGGGTCTCAAAAGAGATTCTTTAGGTGTATCAGGATCCTGAGGCATAAGTCTCAAAATAGCCTGGAATACATCGACAACCTTCATGGGTTCATTGTTCAATGGTATCTCCTCAAACAGGTCCAATCCACCAATAACTTCAGGAGCTTCAATGTAGAAGCCAACAAATCCAGTAGATGTATAGCCAACAGGAGTCATTCTTAGGCCTCGATTATAGGCGAATAGTCTTTCGAGGACCTGCTGGAACTGCCGGAGATTACGTGCGAATTCTGGATTGGCGGATATTTCTGCGTAATCAGGAAGATTGTTGAGTATACTCCTGAATTGCTCGCGTTGCTGGTATTCAGTCAGTATCTGCCATTCTAGACTTTCACCGACGTATATAATACATCAAGAGATGAAAGAAGAGTGCAGTCTGTGGGCACAACTTACTATGATTGCGTCACGGTGGATTGGTGAAGCCATGGCGAGAAATGTGAATAGTAACAGAGAGTCCTATGACAGATACCAAGATGTCAGGAACGAATGTGTGCCAGCTGCAGTAAACACTAGAGACCACAAGGAATAGAGTACTGTTGTGGACACAAGGCAAATTGATGTTGTGTTGGGTTCAAAATTCAAGAGTGGTAATTGAAGTACGTGCCACTCAAGGGTTTTTGGACGCGGAGCCCTCTGCTCAGATATAGGCATCAACATCGGGAAATCGGAGGTAAACATTGCCGAAATGACCCTTTCTTCTAAAAGGAGTGAATATTGTTAATCAAGACAAGACCTCGATTAGTTGTAAGATCACATGCACAACCATAAGTGGCCTGATGAATCTCCAAGGTGTAGGTACACTTTTCCTTTATATGCCACAGGCTTCTTTAGCTTGACCAAAGAAGTTCAAAAGTCTTCATAGTAACCGCAAACATAGCTGTGGAGCAAGTACTAAGTAACAAACCTAGTAGCAAACAGGTTGTATGAAACAGGTTGTATCACGCAGGTCGCATTAAATATTATGTATTAATGACAAATCCAAGTAGAATCTAGACTTATAGAGGTTTCCTTGAGTAAGTAATAAGGTGAATCGTATATATTTAGCAGTATTACTAGTAGTATTATTGTTTCTGTGAACGCAATTATACCTAGAATTGTTGTCTATTAGCTGTCAACCATTTATGTTTTCCTTAAAGGCATGTTTGGCTACGCAAAGTGAGTGATTAGCGCCATATAAAAAACTTTGTATACAATCTAAATATATAGAAATTTACATACACACTAAGATATATACGCTTATGTAGATAGCCGTAAAACTTTGTAACTAAATTAGCTATTAATCCGCCGTAAATCTAATTATAAATATTTTAGATGTATACTACTAAAATAAGAATATGAAAGAACTAAAGCCTTAAACCTTTAGTTCTTTTTCTTCCATATAAATTTCCGTATAAATCTATTCCCCCCTTTTCCTCGTTATTAGGGACAAAACAGGAGACTATTGGAATGAGTGGTAAAATGTAGAATAAGGAGTAAAGAGCTAGCTAAGGGAGTAGGGACTGTTTAGAAGACGACCCTAACTAAGTGGAAGTTACTAGAATACTAGGTATCTACCTAGGTAATAGAGACAAGTTAGGTAGCTAAGATAGGAGTCTCGGCTAAGGATAAGACTAACCGACATGTCGTAACACTCGTATAGTATCCTTCCTATAGTATCTTATCTATAGTAAACCAAATATAATATTATATATGTAAAAAAAGCTTAAAATATAAGCTTACGATTTATATCCCTACCCCTATATTAAGTAAAAAACTCGGCTAATTATAAAGACGCGAAGGTTTAATAGAGGAAGAATATAGGTACTATAAGAGGTAATTACTTTAAAAAATAGTTCTAATAAGTATTAGGCGGTAGAATAAGTATTATACAACTATATACTATTACTAGGGATATTACTATATAAAAGGGGATAAATTAATAACAAAATAACGGAAACTTTATATATAAAAAACAGTGGTACATTTTTTTCTTAAGATCAGTGTGAATTATATACAAATCTAGAAAGATTTACACGGGTCCTTAGAGCTCTAGAAGCGTACAAATGTCTAAGGTTTACACCTAATTTGTAGGGACAGATTTGCGTAGCCAAACATGCCCTAAGTAGAATTTTACAATATAGATAGATCAGAACCCCATTAAACACCCACATTCGTGGAATTACTCTTTTTCTTCAATGTGTAAGCCTGGTGTGCCTTCCTCATAAAACAATATGAGGATAATATTCTCATATTGATGGACCAGATATTGTTTCCTCCTTGGAATCACCATTTATCTCTCCAGCTTCCGATTTCAGAGCCTTCTCAGCCTTTTCCTTCAACCTCCTCTTAATCTTCTTTTCCCTATTCCTCTTCGTCCTCTTCTCCTTTTCACCCTCTTCCTTCCGTTCTTCCTCAAGTCTCTTTTTCTCTTTTGCCTCCTCAATAGCTTTCTGTCGCTTTCTCAGGATAATCCTTCTCTTCTTCCCAGGTTTCTTTTTCCCTCCCCGATCTTGCCCCTCAATAACTAACACCTCCTTGCCTCGTTTGGTCTTTCCGACACTTTTGAGAACCGTAACTCTCCACGGAACTTCCAGTCCCCAGTGCCTTGTTGCCGCAATCTTTAATATATCTTCCTCAGAAACGGCAACCCTCTCAAAGCCTTCTTTACCGCCTTCGGTCGCATTAGCATCCCAGAAGTAATATTCCTCGCCCCGTCCTTTTCCCACGAATGCTCCTTCGCCAAGTTCCTCTCCCTCTTCGTCCACGAGAATGATTTTCTGTGTAGCCTTCGCCCTTTCGCCTTCAGTATTCGATTCATTGCCAGTGGAAAAGAGCCGGAACTCGAATTCTTTCTCTCCACCCCCGCCTCCCTCTTCATCAGCTTCGGAATGCGATTCGCTCGAGGACGGTTTTCGCTCCGTCGCGTTCGTAATCTTAGTCGTAGCAGTAGTCGTAATAAACTCGACGCCCCCAAATAATTCCGCAAATCTCTCGTTCGCGATTCTTTCCCGTTCTCTCAGAGCTGCTTCATCCTGAACCTCTGGCGACGAGGTCCTCGACGGCGATCGCGAGTGTGCATACAGATCGCTTCTCCGAACACTAGATGAAGCATCATCAGCAAGCCATTTGCGTGAGGTTCCTCTCTTCTTTCCTTCCTCTTGCTCTGCCCTTTCATCTTGCGCAAGAAGAGAGACTCACCGCTTTGCATCAGGAACTTCAAACATTGTCGTAACTGTAGCCAGTATTTACTACCGAAATATCTTTGTAACGCACGTTGACATGTCAATCGGCACCCAGTCGTGGATGTAGTCTCATCATGATATTGTACGGTCCAACCTCTCCAATCAGTACCTTAGAGGTCGCGCTGGAACGCAAAATCTTTTCCCCGATTCATCCGAAGTTTCCACGAAAAAGTAAGCTTAAAAACATCAGACGAGAACCCCTTGGACCACTCCAGCGTTGGACTCGGTTCCGTTCGCTTATCACGGAGTACTGGTACTCATGGTATCACTAAACCTACGTAATCTCACAACCCAAACGCCTCCGTATCACAGATCTCGAATATTTATGTGGTTCTTTAGGTACGCAGCTTATGTAAAGTCCCCCACCAACGCCAAGAGATATTACCTGACGCTCCACCTTGCCTTGTGCTGTGACAGCCTGTGTGTGTGGGCGCTGAAACAAAGTGCAGCTCCCTCTAACCCCCTTCGGCATTGGCCCAAGACCCATCTCCCAAGCCCCAAGAAAACGGGAACCGAAAGAAATCAAGAATTTTCAACAACGTGTCTCAAAAGTCTGTTGCGTTGCGCCGCGGCCAATTTCAACCATGGTCAACACTCAGCGGGTAGTGCCGTCACCCAAAAAAGCTTATTGCATCAACCAGACACGTGGGGGTCTCGAAGGACCATGACCCAGCGAGCGGGTTTGGACAATAGGGCAAGAGTGAGACAAGTCAGTGGTATTTACAAAGTCAAGTGAACCTTACTTTTGATAGTAGCGAAAAAGATCAACCTGCCACCATTCTTTCCTCAATAATGTTGACGACTATCATACCAAAAAGGGCCGTCGCTAAATTCCCGTTGTCAGAAATAACGTAAGATCAACATCTACAACAACAACAAGAGACATGGGCCTCGATCAACGAAATCCGTCAGTGTTGAACCAGGAGGAAACCAGTACAGAAGACCTAGTTTGTCCATCAAAGAGAAGAGGGTGACAAGGTTATCAATTTCAGCTGGCTCTGTTTTGCCAATAGTTTCCCCCCACTACGCCCTTCCCGAACCCCCACCCACTCCTATCATATCAGATCATATCCCAACACTCCATACTCCATCGATCCCCACAATAAAATGCCCCCATATCTTACCCTAATTTGCCCAACACCGCTGGGTTGAATATTACATGAGATGTACATGAAATTAAATGTGGTGGTTGGTTCGAAAAAAGAGCTAAAATGCAATCATGTTCGCAGCTTTTCTGATTTTATGCAATTTTGATTCCTTCTTTCGCGTCGTTCAATGTCGTTCCTGTTGATTGATCCTCTCTCGTCCGTTTCATTTCATGACACCATGTAATGAATGCTGTTCTTTTGTTGCGCCAGTTTGATTGGATTATCCTTGCGTTTGTTGGCTCCAGGTATAATGCTGTTGCTGCTGCTGCTGAGGCTCTTCCTTCGTGTACTGCGTCTCGTTATGGAAATCGTAGTGAGCAACACTTGGTGCGGTTTGCGCCGAAGTCCCATAAACCGATGCAGTATCAGGCCCCGTCGTCCAGGGGTGGATTGGCACCGGATTGGGGAAATAATCTGGTCCTCTTGCTGGCATTGCCACAGGCTCCGAGGGCCCGCTATATGGGGGCGCAAACCGTGTCGAATTGGCATATTCGCCATGGTAACTTCCAGTTGGGAGCTCTGGAGGCGCAACGTGGCGTGGAGATTTCGCAGGCCGTGGATTGCTGTCGATAAAGCGGAGAGAAGAGACTCCAGCAGGAGGTCCCGAAGCTGGATGATAAACATACTGTGATTGTCGGAGCGGAGCCTGAGAAGGCGCCATCACCACTGGTGGTGGGTGCGAAGAAGTATGAGTATTTTCCGTGTTGTTGGGCTGGCTAACGTGAAGGTAACTGTCCAAACTGACAGTAGGAGCAGGATAGCTAGACGTAGCTGGTGCTGTACTTTGATCTGGCGCATGCTGTGCAGTCCAGCTTGGGTACGTCCTAACCAATGTCAGTCCAGGCGCTAAAAGCAGCTATAGCGTTGGCAGGTCTGTTTCTACGAGAGTCACAGGGCTTGGTTTCGGGAAATCACCAAACGTTGCCGCTATCCAAGTGTCTAAGGCTCAAATGAAAGGTTTACTTACGACTGCCGGACCAGTGACGGGGATCCAGGAATGTTTGAAGAATCAAAGGTAAATGGAGAGCGTGGGAGCTCAAGGGCACTTGTTCTCAAGGACTTGGCCGACTTCCCATCACCACTGATGCCAACTGACATGTTGCTCGTTGCAACGTGAAGCTCAGGAGGCTGTCCTCGCGAGGAAGATGATCCAACCAGAGGAATTTCCTTCCGTGCTTGAAAATTGCGAGGACTGCGACCTCGAACGACGATTGGCGCAGTTGCTGTCTCACACACGTTGACTTTGGTGCCATTCGCTAAAGTCCCAACTACATTAAGGTGCAATGTAAAGTGCTGTTGGAGTTCACGCCTGCGTCCATTGTTGGCTGTTGCGATCCGGAACTGAAGCCTGCGATAGGCGATAGGAAAGACAGTAAAATCGCTATTGGCGTCTCGACCGTCATCGAAAGGCTCGAGTGGTATTGGTGTCGGCTCACTTTCCTGACCAGGTCCAACTTCTGGGGAATTTGGAGGAGGTGTTTTCCAAGGGATGACAATGAGTTTTACAACATGTCCATCAACTGATTCAGTGGCCGAAATAGTGACCTCCAAAGCGTTGATAGGGACCCTCTCCCCTCGGTCCGTTATCAGGAATAATGGGCCCCGCGGCGTAGTGACATTACCAGAAATTTGAAAGAGATTGCGTCGATAGCAGGTTAGCTCGGGTTGTACAAGATGAGGTTCATTCGATGGAGTTGCCAATTCTGATAGAAAAAACATCCCATGGATCTGCGCTGCTAGCTCAATTTGCTGTACTCGTCCTTGGTGATCTAAAATCGTTCGTTTTTCGGGAAGTCGGCCAAAACATAGCAGTCGATGATCCTGATTGATTGCGGGTTTCGGATCTACTGTTGCTTCTTCTCGAAAATCTTGTACATGCTCGACGTAAGGTAAACCATCCCCGGAATGAAAAGCTCTCTTCAACGATGGATAGCTGTGGTGGCTGTTGAGACCAGGTGGGGAAGCTGTCAAGATCCCACTTCCATCTCGTGGCGTTGGTCGAGTATGGATGGAAGGAATGTCCATAGAACGATATGTACCTTTCTGTGCTCGACCATGATAAGGAATCGATAAAGGAGGAGCGACATAGTTTGACTCGTAAGGTGGAGGGTGATTTGATGATGGATTAGGTGGCTGAAGGCTGTAGCCCTGCCAGATCGAAGTTTCCGAATCCTCTGGCTTTATGTTTGCCATCGTTAACGAGTGTGTTCTTGACATGAACGCATCTCCCAAGCATGGGGTTATCAGATAGACTTAAAGGAGTGGAAGAACAAGACTGAAAAGCAAAATCTCAATAAGCGCATGGAATTATTTTGGTGATCTCTGTAGCCGTTGAGCCAGGCGTGGGAGGGAGGTAGATGAAGGCGGGAGCACGAGCTTATGCTGGGGATGGAGCTAAGCTTTGATTCGTGTGATTCGTCAATAGCATACATGAACATAGGAAGAGTGGACCACCGGGGCCCGCAACAGAACCACAAAGGGGCCAGTGTGATTGATACTGTATGAAAGATGAGGGGCCGCAATCCCCAAGCCATTTTTCATGGCTTATTGATGACCCCGATCATGGCTTAGACTGATTCCGCTTTTTTTCATGAGAATGGGAAAGCTCGGGGAGCTTGTGGGGGACGTCTTGAAGAGAATCCAAGTCCCCGTTGTACCCCCCTCCCCCTCGCCTCAGTCTCCTTCAGGGTACGCTCTATCTTCTGTAAAGAGCACCGCGTTCACAGCCCTTTGGCTCGATTTGGGCTATAGCAGACCAACGTGGCGGGCGCGTGATCTTCATTCATCGTCTTCTACTCTGGCATGCCATCATTGGGTACTTTTCCAGTGCCTAAATTCGTATTTGATAATGATCTTCAAGTCTTGGGGGATATATCAAAAGGTTCCACGGACGAAGCGCTAGGGCCGACAAGAGGCGTTGAGGCCGCCGCCAGGGAACCTCAAAGATCCAGGGGGGATGACAGGCCTGATAACTGTGACCTGACCAGGAGGGAAGCAAACACCCTTGTTCCGCCTGCCGGACGGTGGCCCAGAAGGGGACGAGGCATCCAAAAACAGATTAGTGTACAGCATGCCAGCGAGGTTGAAGCTGAATTGCTTCTGAAGCCGAGACTTGCAATTGATAGTGTTGAAAAATTTAGAGGAGTGAACAAAAAGAGGGCTCTTACCTAGAGGTACCTACAAAATGTGCATGTATTGTGTTCTATAGAGCTTACCTCACAACCTGTAGACAGAGAAATGAGGCGGACGGAACACAACGCTGCGGAGAAAGTATGAGCGGTACGGTACGGAGCATCTGCAGCAGCAGCTCTGGAGTCTGGACCGGGAGATGGGACGGATATAGGTCCGCAGTTCTGACCAACTGCGTGAACCTCACACATGGTGCACACTATGCACTGCTGCCGGTCAAGGGGACTGTCAATAAAAGAATCCCTACGGAGAGCACCCACCTGGCTCTCTTTGCATGTGGTGATTTCCCCTTGAAGCTGCCATGCATTTGGGCGTTAATTGTAACTTAAACATACCAATTGAATTCCCACCAACAACTTTGATATTTGGAGGCTTGAAGATTGTCTCCCAGAGCCGGCTCATGACCGAAAAGACCTCCACGGACCCCAGAGGCCCCGCTGTTCGGGTCGAGACGCAAAAGAGGGAAAAGGACTTTTTTACATCACTGCGGGGATCATGTTCCGCCCCAAGCCTTCTTTGTTGGAGTCCACTTATTTTTGAGTATTGCCGATGCGAGAGACTGTCAAATTGGGGATCTAGTAACCAGGGGATCATGTCGTTCACTGTTGTCACATCTTAATCAGCAGTGATAGAGACCGGGCTGGCATGAACATGGGGCAGGGGGAGCCCCCCGCCATGCATAGACCACTGGACCAGTAGGAAGTCAACCCCACGCCGCCTTTTATCGAATGATCCTTACAACGTTCAGAAAAATGACCGAATGCGGACGGTAATCAATCTCGAAATGTCCTGGCCCCAGCGGCAAAGCCAGGGCCTACCGGCCCCTCGAAGAACTCAAGACTGGGCGGCCATGAGCATCCAGTAAGCACCCATGTTCCAAGGTCCCACTGCTGCTGATTGCAATCCGGTCGCGGTTGATCGCAGGAGAAATCAACTTATCAAGTTGTCAATTCATATCAAGAGGTACAGAATAAGACCCACTGGTGTCCCGGCAGCTGAGTGCGGTGCGGAACCACTTGGATGGACGGCCACATTCTCCAGAATCGGGGCAGATCCGAGGGATCTCAGAACAAGCCACGTCAAGGCAACAGCCATGAGGAAATTAAAATCAATCCCAAACTGATCAGAAACTCCTGCTCCGTGCTGGGTATGGGAAAGAGTGCATTTGTTGATTTGGCCGCGCTTGCATCATTACATGCGAACCGAGGTGGTGTATGTGTTCCGTGAGAGGATAAATAAAATCGGGAATTCGGAAGAATCAGAACCGAGGAGGTTGTGACAAAATTAGTCCCGCCAGTCTGGAGATGAGAAGCATCCGTGATATCCCTCTCTTTGCTCACTCTGAGTCGCTGCTGACAGCATGATTTGATAATATGATCGCCTGAGGAGGCGTAACAGCTTGCCTTACCTTGCTGTGAAGTGCAAATCCATGGTATGCGGGCCCTCGATATGGGGAAAGATTAGGGGAAGCCATGCCCAGGGAGCACATCATATCACCGGAAGTAATACGGTAAGGGGTAATGGACTATGTGGATCAGGACCCCTTCGTATCTCGTACACTCTTGTAGAGATTCCTGCTCCTGCTTCGCTTCATAGTTTGGATCCGCGCGTCAAAGAGGTCGTTGAAAAGGATTGCCCGCTAACAGACGTTGATGTATGGAGTACGTGCGGTAGGCGTTTATGTGCACGACCTAAACGTTAAATGTCACCACCTCAAAACTCCACCTCCACCTCCCCCCACAAGCGGCTAGTATCTGTATTACGGGATGGTCCCCTACAGTTCGTACACCCCTCAAATACAGGGAACTAGGTTCTAGCAGCTAGCCACCAGGCTGCTCCGTTCACGCACTGACATGCTAAATTAAGCCTTCGACGACATCAAATGCGGAGAATAAAGTCACTGAACAACTGGCGACTACAGCCCATTTCCGTTCTACGTAGTATTCCAACCGCCAACCTCGTGGCAACTTCATCAATTTCTGCAGGTATATATTCTGATGGAATGGAAGAGCGCCACGATGCAACGATGAATCTGTAGCATCTGTCATTTCAAGCTTTGGACTTTCGGATATGCCAGAATGACACAATGGAACAATATCGAATCTTTCTAGAACGTGCTGAGTCGGTTATTGATTTCGATATTGGCTTTCTTTATTGTCGGGTGATTCTCCAAGGGCCCTGCATCCGTGGTGTCATCATGCCATGCATGACAATAGCGGCTTCAGCGGATAGGGCTTCAGTCTCGGTTGGCCCCCAAAACCAAGTCATAGAATCTCTAGCCACACAATTCAGGATATTGAGATCTCTGCCTTGGAAATATGGTAACGTTGCATGAAAGGTCATGCTAAAAGCCCAAATAGGAGTGTGACAATAAATATAAAATTCCGGCGCGAAAAACTTGTCTTCTTGCTGTTCTCTAACCGGACCGATTGGTGCCAATTTTGAGGGACTGAGACAGTTGACCAGTAATCAGTCAATGAGGTCCAAAGAAGGGGAAATATATATTAAGTGTGCCACACCACGACGACAAGAGAAGCCACGCTTCAATAAATTGCACAGCTGTCGATATTGCGTACAGCTCTTGGGTTGTGGAGTATCTCTATGGCGTACTCTGAGTCAGTACCTTCATCTGATTTGTTCCAAAACTGGGCCTTACCTTTTTTGGCTGTCATGGTACATGGCGTCTTATATCACGGGATCAAAAGATTCCCAAGACGAACCACTTGTATAGCTGCCACCAGTCAGAAATATCTGAGGGTGTGATGAAAACTTTTTTAGGAGTGGTGATCACGTCACCGAGCTGGTAACCGGTACTACTTTGTAGAAAGAAAGAAAAACCGCGGCAGCGTCTGAAAAGTTCAATTGATGTCAGTTGCGAGACAGCCAATGTGGAGATAGGGCATTCTTTGACCGGGTTTCTAAGCACTGTATTCCCTAAACGCAAAGTAAGAGGCATGCATGCTATTCATCCGAGCACACCTAACAACCACTTTGAGCCAGAAATACAATAATAAGTCGACTTAATTGTCCCAAATCATTTGGGTTAATGAAAATGTCCCATTTTCAGTAATCTTCAACGTTCGTATAACTGTTCCAGTCGAACGGGTCTTCTGGAAAAGAGTTACTCAATTTAGTGTACACGGAGTAATGATCAAATATCTTACCTACAAAGATGATTCTAAACATCAAGCGCAATCCGGATCGTTTTCAGGCTCCCCGGTGACCTTCGGCAGGGCGTCATCGTCTTACATGGCGTGGGAAGACCGCTGGAGGACACTGGGAGTCCGCAGCCGTCTTACGTCTCTCCAATTGCGCAAATGGAAAATGATTCGAATTTCCATTCGTTGAGGGACATGGGCGTGTGCCTGAATTATAAGATTGTTGGGCGATTATGAACAATTGCTGGTCACAATTTGGCTTAATTAACCAAGACGGTAGCGTTATCTCACGGTGCAAGTCGTATCAGAAGCTTCCTATCTTCTACTCGAAACCGACTGTCCAGATGGCAAGGCGTATTTCAATAGCCATAGTTCCAAACTCGTGTTGATCAATACCTGAATATCGCGTTGCTGACGCTCCTTCCACCGTCTTGACAAGGAAATGGAGGCGGAGGCAAAACAATTGCAGCGGGAGTCTAAGGATACGACTAGCGTATTCATGTAGACCCAGAGGTATTGAATAAAAATGAAGCCAAGTCGTGGGTAGGCGGGGTTCTCATTGGCACGCCTTTGTTTTGATTCTGTATATCGCTGCATGATGCCATAAGCTGTCAGCTAAGTCTCACAAGTGGGTGTTAATGACCTTCTGCGTGAGATTCCAGGGCGATCTTTGGTGACCTCTGGGTGATGGCTGTGATGTCTTACAAGTTTGAGAATGTCCTCTGGCGTAAGTGATCCAAGATTATACTCCAGGTCACTGTTGATGTCAAGATTGCCGAGCAGACTAGCACGTGCATAGTACCACCGGGGAGGCATCGATGATTCCGGATGCAACTCACAGGAGAAGGGTACCTGCATCTTGAAGGGTTTCGATGGCGCCGCGCGCATTCAAAGCCACAGTCAAAGTTGGTTATGAAGGACAAGGTTGCAACTAAGCAAATTGGCAACGATACCAGAGCGGGGCAACACCAATACAACAATAAGTCATATGTTTTTAGACGGATCTGGTAGCAGATAAAGATGGAACTTAGACGTGTGGTATTTTCCCACCTTTTTCATGTTGGGCCACTTGCCATTTCCGAAATTTATGATGTTGGTTATGCTTCTCCCGTTTGAACAACCACAACTTTTCATCAGTCTGGGACTTTTGACTAACCCAGGATACCACTTGGACTGTGACTTTGAAACACCTGACCACAACCAGGAAACGAATTATCGGTGAAGAACGAGAGAAGAAAGCAAACCAATCTCATCGTTTCCAAAACTCTTGGTCGCCGTCGTAAAAGTATTTAAACTCCCATCACATGATATAAAAACTGAAGGAGAATAGAGCGGGCTTGGTATCATATCAACTGATTCGGCGCGTTTTTGTTGTTGGTAATGCAAGCGATGAAACTGTACTACAGATTGAATCAGTTCTAGCTATACACTTCTCACAACACAACTTCAAGTGAAAGAAAATCCTGCATTGGACATTTCACATTAGCAGGGGGGCCGAACCTAATTGATATAAGAACCGGAAACAAATTGTTGGACTCAGTGATTCTTTAAAGGCAGGCCGTTCAAGTTGGAACTATTATGGTGTGATGATGTTCCGAAAACAGCATGCTGGCTCCAAAAAGGGCAAACCGTCTCGTGAACTCCCCGACCAGTCTCTCAATACAAGCTTGAGGAGCTTTAGTTTTGGAAAATACATTTTCGATGTTGATATTGTAATTCCAGTAGCAGTGAACGAAGGAAGTGATTCAATATCCTAGCACAGAGAGTCTCTCATCCGTGCCGTACGTATCTGCACGATACTATTGTGTAAGGGACTGATGTGGACTGCTGAGGGCGTGGTAAAGCGCAGAAACAGGAGTTCAACGGCTCTTAACAGTTCAGCGGAAAACTCTTTCGCATTGATACAACAGCTCTTAGAGCGCCCGAACCTCTAACAGGAACAGACACCTCTTCGATCACCAGCTCTTGCTTTTCACCTTGATCAGATGCTTGGCCGGGCCAGTCTCTCCATATCTCGATTGAGTTGTTTTGGAGGTCACTACCAGTGCTTCTTTTCAGATTGTCCATTAGTATCTTGACAACTCGAATGGCTTGTTCGTCGTCACCAATTTCCATTAACAGAATTTTTGACTGGCCCAAATTAAAGTGGAAGTCAACAAGGCGGGCGTAGAAAACATCCTGCGGCAAAACAGAATAGGAACAGGAAATATTAGGGACAAGAGCCAACTTCGGCTCCCAATTTCTCACAGAACGAGTCGTTTCGTGGTTGAAGCTCTCGTTTGAGATATACGGCGGGTTTGAAATGAGAATGTCGCATTTCAAAGAGGCTCTTTGGTCTGAAGTAAGGTTCGAAAATATGTCAACAACCTCAAAAGAAATCCTTGGAGAAGCATTCAAATAGCCCCTCTTGACGTTTTCACGGAAGTTTCTCCGCGCCAGAGAAACAGCAGTTTGGGAAATATCCCATCCTTGAATTTGAAGAGCTGTGAATGTGTTTGAAAGCAGGGAGTGCAAGAGGAGCGGAATGCAGCCAGTTCCAGAACATAAATCCACAATCCGCAGAGGATTAGAAGTGCTCTTAGTCGACGGATTGAGGCTGGCGCCTGTCATGGTTTTGAAGACAACATGGTGTTGGTTGATGAATTGAGCCAAGTACTCGGTATAGGCTTCCGTTTCTGGCCTTGATACATTGGCAGAACTTGTTAGTCATGGATAGTCTCCATTGTGGTTTCAAATTCGGATCATACCTAGGAATCAGGACACCTGGCTCGCATATGATATCCAATTCGCCAAATGGCTGGGAGCCGAGAATGTATTGCAAAGGCTCGCCCTTGGCTCTCCGTTCACATAATATTCGAAGCCTTTTGTGAGGCGAAAGAAGCGAGTCTCTGGTCGTGGTGGTCTGTTCAACATGCTCTCGGAGCCATCGCAGTTCATTGACTGCCGAGTCCCACGTGCGCGTTCCACGCAGCACCAGAGGAAGCAGCGGAGAGATTTTACGGGCGCGTAGCAGGAGAGAATGAGGGAGACGTGGCATAACCTTGAACCACTCCGATTGACGCTTTGGATGAAGATGTCACCATGTCCAGCTGCAGGTGGGCAGGGCTCTGGGCTGGACAGCCTTGCACGTGCTTTCGCGTCACGTCGACTGGTGTCGGGTCGGATAAAAGCAGATCCGAGGGGAGAGCTTACGGAGTACTCGAGTATCTCATAGAACATCTCGACACCTCCAGCGTACTCGAAGATACCCATGGATATACAGTACCAATATTGGATCCTTCCGTGATCCCTCGACCATGTTATCCAGACATCTCAATCGCACGCGTGGACGTGTTGCTACTCTTATCTATAAGAATGTACATGGTCATCGCCCTTTGACTTTTCGCCATGTTCCTCCTCCATTCCCGACCACCCCAAAATGCCCCTCGCCGAGCTGTCCTTGCGCAGAAACGCCCAACCTGCCCGACCTACCAATTGACCATAAGGCAAACTTGAATGGCACCATGGCACCATATGATGAGCACGTGCTGATATGTACCGGAAAAGATGACTGGATGTCGAGGGTGGAGGAGGAAAACTCGGGCGACAATTTGGCAGCGGACCTGAAGGAATTGCTCGGCAGAGGCGGCATATACGCCGATGTATGTTGGTTTCATGGTTTCATGGTTTCATGGTTTCAAAGTTTCCGTAAGTTGGAGATTACAATGAGGGCTAATTTCTGCTCCTTCGATGCAGCCTTACCATAATGTCTCCATCACCAATTCGTCATTTCCCCCATCCAGACCGGGTAGACCAGAAATCATCAACGCATCCGCATATCTCCTCCCATCTTTCAAATACATACCCTTTCTCCCTCGAATATCCTTCGATACGGTTCAGGCACTTACCAAGGCTTACTTATTACCTACGAAACTGCACCCAGCACACGACAACCTGAGCCCAATCCATAGAGATAGATTATTGAGAAATAGCGAATACGCGAGTAACCTGTACGGTGTCCGTGATGTCAAGGATGTTCTCGTACTCATCTGTGGTCATGGCGGGAGAGATGCAAGATGTGGTGCGTTTGGGCCAATTTTGAGGGATGAGTTTGCAAGTCACTTGAAGAAGCAAAATCTAGAGATTGAGACCGAGGCAATATCTGTTCCCGGGCCTTCTGAGGATGGGCAAGAATTGACAACCGAAAGCGAGTCTATAGCACCTGGGGAAACAGCCAGAGTTGGACTCATCAGTCACATTGGAGGACACAAGTTTGCTGGCAATGTTATCATTTACATTCCACCGGGAAAGAACATCAGAGATGAGGACACACCACACCCTCTTGCCGGCTGTGGGATCTGGTATGGTCGTGTCGAGCCCAAACACGTGGAAGGAATTGTGGAAGAGACATTCGTGAAGGGAAACGTCATTGAGGAGTTTTTTCGAGGCGGCATTCGACAAAGCGGCGAGATATTGAGAATTTGAACAAACAGCGGATACAGCCGTAAGAGATGATGGTAGAAAGCAAAGGACAACGAGTGAAAGACGGCCAACGGCGAGAATACAGATGGAATGATTCCAGCCGGCAGTTCATCGAGCTCCAGCTACCCACACGGTCCAACCGCTCGGCACAACAACACTGCCCATCAGCACCATCAGCAGCATCAGCAGGGTCAGCTTCCAAGGCAAGACCCCAAACACTTGAGCATCAGGTGCATCTAGAAGCGGGAGTGGGTTGGGAGGTCTAGATGATGCTGTGTGTTTCTCAATTCACCCAGAAAGGGAAAGGGCGAAACTGGGCCAATGGAAGCCACATGGCAGTCTCATGCTAGTTACTGGTAGCAGGAATGGGGAATCAATCTCGATGTCAGCCGGAGTTCCGATGCGATGCCAGATTCACCCGCAGGGCTGATAGTGATGCAGGAAGTAGTTAGTACCGTACACGCACATGTTACCTATACAGCTAAGTCACAGTACACTCGGTACTCAGTAATGGTAGCTGGAGTACGGAGTGCTGTCCTCGTATGATGTTATGCATCACGAGAATTGGTTTCTACTGCAGGTGTGCACGGGCAATTTCCGGTTTCCAGCTGTGCAGACGGGGACGTCGACGTCACGTCTTTCCTTCCGGAGCATTTGCTCCATGAGATCGTAGGGGAGCTGGCTACTGGCCTCTGCAAACCTTAGGCTCTGGCAGTCCGTAGCGTAGCATACATACCTAGGTAGCTGTAGCATACATAGCTCCTGACCTGAAGCTTGAATCATAGCTCCTGACCTGAAGCTTGAATGTTGACTTGAGAACTACAGTCTGGCCTGGCCAGTACTCTTACTTCATCCCTGACGATGTTGGTGTATGCGTACATAAGGTTCCACTAGTATTCCAGTGCTGTACTGCACAGTAGAAGTTTCCTGAAGCTTGGAGCTGGACCTGGACCTGGACCTGTAGCTTGAGCTTGAGCTTGGTTGGGGTTGGGGTTGGGGTTGGGGTTGGGGTTCATGCGAGCTGGCCTGGGGCTGCAGCCACAACCACAGCCACATCTTGTCTTGCCCAAACGCGCCCCATCTGGATCTGGTGCAACTCAACAAAATTCCATGACGTTTTCATCGGTTTGCCTGGAGGGGCAAGTGCAGCTTTTGCTTCCAGGCTCAATTTTGCGATGCGGGGTTGCGCCACAACCCCGCTGACGTCACTCTAAATGGCCCTTCACTGGCCGGGGCCGGGTATATGCGCGCAAGCTGCAGGCAGAGGCAGAGGCGAGAGAGGCTACAGCTGCCTCGCTTGCCTTGGATCAACACAAAGAGCTCTCCAGCTTCACTCGTGATGGTTCACTATTGATCACATGTCGATGACGTAAGAGTTTGGGGGTTTGGGGGAAGAGCTGGAGCTGGAGCTCCCCATAAATAGAGCTTCCTTCAACCCCTCTACACCTCTTCCCTTTCGCATCAACCAACATTATCTCAATCTCATACTCACATCAACACAAACACTCAATCACAAATCAACCAGATCAATCTTCAATCAATCAAAATGGAGTCTGTCAAGGTTCGTACCTCTATTTGTCCTCCACCTGCCAACCCTTGCAACACGACCTTGGGTTGATCAACATCAACATCTTGAATCCCTTCACTTCTCGTTCAATGCTAACCCTTTCACAGCAAGCCGCCAACTACGTCAAGGAGACCGTCGAGGGTGCCGGATCTCAAGCTTCCAAGGAGGCCAACAAGAACGTCGCAAAGGACTCCAATGCAAGCTTGGGTACACGCGCATCTGCTGCTAAGGACGCTCTCGGGGACAAGGCTGAGCAACACGGCCATGAGACCAAGGCTGATGTCCACAAGGGTATGTAACCACCATCGCAATAGCACTGCACCACTCCTCCCAAATGTTTATGCGCTCATACCCTTTGCTCCCCTTCTAGAAGCTGCGTAGAGTGTCACACTCATACTTACTCGTCCATCATACAGAGGCTGCCAAGCACTAGATGCTTCTCAGATCTCCTTTTCGATACCCATCACACCGCAAATCGTCGGCTTAGGTACCTCGCATGGGTGGATTGATTTTACGGATGGCGTACGGAATGGAACAGGGAGGGTCATCGGCATGGATGCATAATATTTCTTAATGGAAGGGATAGTTGTAGACACAATACCCTTAGCATAGCAATTTCAAAGCTTTGCCATATTTATACCTTCTTATTGCCTGGTGTTTTGTGAAATTTATGATTATTAACCTAGCATTTCATGTGTACTTGAACCTTGATTCATCAACCCTTCTCACTCATGTTCACAGTCTTCTGAACGATGGGACTTGATGGATATGTATCACTCCAAGATACTGTCGTACTAATTTAAGCTAGATATTCCCTCACAGAACCATTAAGATAAGCACTAGGTAACTTGGACATTCAACATTAGAAGGGTATTCAACATTCGAGAACTTTAAATTATTAATGTACTGGTACCCCGCAATACGATTAGCCACCAGCCCTCTTCACCCCAGTCGTACCCACTAACAGCTTTTCTTGCTCAACAAAGCTCTGGGTCGGAAATGGCAGAAGACATGATCTTGTTGTTGAATTTATGAAGAGTTTTGCCGACCCTATCTGATTTTTCGGATTCCCAGAAGAAATCAAATGAAAAGGAAGAGGGGAAGTAGTTACCCATCATTTTTGCCAATAAAATAACACGACTTTTGGCTCTGATGGTATCGCCCTTTATTACAGTAAAGCCAAGTGAAAGCTGTACTGTATCTGGAGAGAGATGTCGAAAGTGTGGCGTAATTGTGGCGGTGTCCTCGAGTGTCAACATTCATCCCCGCTGCACTAGCAATTATCAACATCAAAAAATTCATCATATCTATTGGCGGAAGAAAAAATATTCACTCACCATGCACCGGGTGAAATACCCCGCTCATGGATCGGAATGTGGTCGCTTGCATTTACCCCTAGGTTTTCTACGATCTGATCCTGGTAATTCACTAAGAAGAACTTCACGATTTTGGTTTTTTGAATGGGGATTTTAGAGGCACCAGGAGGTGTTGTCTGCTTTTAGAACTCATCCGTGGTTTATTATACGGGGGGGTATGAGGGTCCCGGTAGTATATGTTTTTTTATTATAGTGGATTTTGTTTCTTTTATGCTTGATACATCTTAACCTTCGTTCCAGTGTTTTCGCGTGTGCTTGATGAGTTCTTGGATCTTTTCTAATCTCAGAAGCGTACATCACGTCGTATGAAGTAACACCCGACTTATTTATTTGATTCTTCAAACAGTTCCAACATGCCTTTCTTTAGTCGCTTATCCCTTTCTATCTTGACTCTCATATTTACCACAAAAGCCTCATCATGGCAGATGCCAGCTGAATACCCTATCCAAGCATCTCCCAATGGACGCCACTTTGTCACCTCAACAGGAGAGCCATTCTTCTGGCAGGCTGATACAGCCTGGGTGATGTTCCATCGTCTGAAGCTGACTGAAGTGCAAAAATATCGTGACGATCGAGCAGCGAAGGGGTTCAACATGTTATTAGCCGTTGCAGTTAATCAATTTGGGAAAGTGTGTCCCAGATACCAAATACAAAATTTACATGCTAATAAGAAGGTAGTGATCAAGATCCAAACCGTGCTGGCGATCTACCGCTCCTTAACCGAGATCCTACAAAGCCAAATGAACCATACTGGACTCACGTAGACGAAGTGGTGCAGATGGCTTGGGAAAGAGGGATTCGGATTGCGATGTTTCCGTCTTGGGGCAACTACATACACGATAATGTCGATAATCCCAAAAGCATCAATGCCTCCAATGCCAGGGCGTTCGGTACATGGATTGGAAAACGATATCCCGGCCTTCCCAAAATGCTAGTCGCAGACACAAATCCATACTGGACCAACAAGTCCGCAGTCAGCAACAACTACAAACTTGGCGGGAGACACGAAACGCTCAGATATACCGATTACAGCGCCGTCTACGACGAGCTGGCTGCTGGACTCATCGAAGGAGAAGAATCCAAGGCAATGATCACCATTCATTGTACGAATCAATGGTTTGAAGGTGGAACAATTGCTCTGGCATCTGCTTTCTTCGGCGATAGGAAATGGCTCACCTTCGATACCTCGCAATCTGGTCATGCTAGTTACCCACCGAACCCGCCGATTCCATGGTGGAACGCGGCGAGGGGCTATGAACCCGTGGAATTGATGTATGCATCGACGAACCCGCGACCGGTCTTGGATAACGGGGCGAAATATGAGAATCGGTATGATAATAGTAAACCGGTCAATCCGTATGGGAATGCTTCGGATGTACGTATTGGTACTTATCAATCGGTGAGTCTTTACACTGGTGACTGTTGAGATTTTGGTAGGTGGTACTGATGTTAAGTGAGGTCTTTTCTGGTGCTGCGGGATTGACATATGGCGCTGACAACGTCATGCAATTCTATATCCCCGATCTTTTTGAGCCGGCGAATAGCGGGCCTGCCAGATCGTGGGCGGAAGACATACATCTTCCTGGTAGCTCGCAAATGCAATATATCAAGAAAGTGATTCTGAACCGACCGTCACCTCTTGATCGTGTCCCTGACCAGAGTATCATCGTTGGTGATTCGGGTACGGATGCGAAACATGTTACTGCTATCAGAGATGGGAATGGTCGGTGGCTGATGGTTTATACGCCTACTAGGAAAGCATTTACCATTGATACGAGTTCTTTGGGAGAAGGGAGTGTTGAGTCTAGTTGGTATGATCCTCTTACGGGAATTTGTCAGGTGTTTGAATGGCAGCGGCGGTTGGGGAATGTCACTTTTACTCCGCCTTTGAATGGAATGCATTCGGATTGGGTATTAGTATTAGAAACGAAGAATAACGCTTAGTAGTTTGAAATAAGCATCTACTTATTAGCATAAACTTTGTCATACAGGTAGTTATCTAGCAATATCTAAAAAGCATTGCTGGCGTTAATGTATTATTCGCACATTTCTATCCATAGAAATCTGGTGGAAAATTGCTCAACGTAGGATCTTTTGATATCATGCTTAAGCTGTTAGACCTTTTTGCCCTGATTCTTCTAGAAGACGTACAACGACACAAATCAACAGGGGATAACCAGAGGATCAGAGACCTATTTTCCTTAAACCACCCCCAAGGTTCCAGTAAAACTTAGCTTTAGATCCACCTAAGTAGTAGTCATACTAGTTGGTAGGTAAATACTTCTGTTATCTAAGCTTGCATTACATCTACCAACTAGAGCCTCTACGAGGAATAGGCTAGTTGAATATTTTCCTGCGCAATTAATGGTCGGACCCTCTCCTAGACCTCCTCCCGATAACTAGATCACTACGATATACGGAGACAGGTTATTAGTAATCGGACAGAAGTATTCCTTAACTAGCGGTATTCTAGTAAATCTATTTCCTAATACCGAACTAATTACCTCTACTACTACTTTTATAGTAACCGGTATTCGCCTTTTAATTCTCGAATAACATTCTTTACTTATGCTATACCTTTTTTTATTTTATTCTATATTATATAAGTAATAGCTATAAGTTAAGTTACTTTTACTATTAAAGTAATCTACTAATAAATATTATTTAAAGATTGTTTTTATAGAAATATAATGTAATAAAGTTAAGTAAATACTTACTAGATATCTAGTAAATAAAATATAAAGTAGTTATTTATAATTTATTATTATTATTTAAAATTTATAGAGAAATATATTTTAATATATTTTAACTAAGTTAAATAATCCTATATTATTTATAATTTTTTATAACTAGTAGAAGTAGTTTTATATAAGTAGAAGTATATAAACGCGTATATTACTCTAGTATAGCTAGAGCGTAGCTATATTAGCCTTATCTAAGTTATAATTTATAGTTAGAATGTAAAAGTCTTAGAGAGAATTAGAGGCGACTTTAATACTAAGATATAGTTTAAATAGAATTAATTATAACAAGTAGACGAGTTCTTACTAAAGATTAGTATCATTAGTGTAATTAGTAAATTTATCGCACACATATTAGCTCTGCGATATAAATGGAAAGGGTTCTTTCGTTTAGTGGTCCAACTAAAGGCTATTCCGAAGTTAACCCAACCGACAAGGCCTGAGCTCAAAAGGGGGTTAATAAACAACTAGGAGAAGCGTGTATACGTAGAACAATAGAAAAAACACTTGTTAATGTCTGTTTGCAATTTCGAAAGTGTTTGTTTACCTTATTTCGGTTTCTAGAAGTCTAGATTAATAATGAAAATGACAATAAATCCTCTAATTACTATAAAACAATAGGAGAAGAATTAGCCCCACTACCTTTCGCTTTGCGCTTTCAGGCGCATTCTCATTGTTGTCTGTCGTAGACCTCGAAAGAAACTTATACGTTGTTCTTCGATACCTTCGTACCTCTTTTCGCTGATTATGAACTTTCCAAACCATGTTTTGGATCCCAGTATTCATCTCCTTGACGGTGCTGCCAGAATCCTCCCCTTTCCAGCAGCTTCTCTTCTCTTCATTGGGAATTCCAATTTACCGCGGGTTAGTGGAACTTGCAGGGCACGAGATGGCATTTGTCTAGATCCTTGCGCGTGTCGTGTATGGCTTGATGGAGGTTGAGGGGATGGTTTGTATACTGCTTGGCACCTTTGCATGTCAGTCAATCAGCCGAAGAACTTTAGATATATTTGACTTATAGGGATGACTTTCAAAGATTCATGCATTTCAGAAGGTCAATGAAGCGTAGAGGTTGTCTGAACTGCTCGGGTCCACTGGCTTTTCTGTACTGATGGGTTTATTGGCGATAGTGATCCGTTGCTATCGAGGAAGAAGTTCTCAGTTGCAGATCATGCTGAAGCGGAAAGTCTTTGAGTGTATTGGTACCAGCTAGCAGCTAGTTCTGCCAGTAAAGCTGCACTGTCATAAGGTCTGGGTTGCCCGATACCCACTAGCTCCGTTTCCTTTGCCTCGACACGTATAACGAAAACTTCCCCACTCGCACTTTTCTCGTCGCCTTGCAAGATACAATCACAACACCATATCCACCACACACACAAAACACCACATGAACCATGATTCGCATCCAAGAGACCGTTCGCGCGTTGGTGGACTGTTTTTGCTGCTGCTTCCTACCCCCAGCGCCTCCCGGTATGTGTTTCTCTTCTCTTCGTATTGTTTTGAATATTTGGCATCGAACCACTCAGCCCACCACGCGTCATATTTACCCTTGTTCTCTTTATTGAAATTCCAATACATGTACAATACTCCAAGATTAGTGGTATAAATTAATGTTGGAGAGCTTTCCTGGTTACGATGATACAGTACAGTAGCTATCCTCCAGCCCTAAGCTTCTCCTGCTTCTATGCTGCGCGTTCGAAGGATTCTGCTACAAGACCGTCCTATCCTTCTGGTTTTCACCTATCAGTATGACTGAGAATCGAAGCAAGTAGCTTATAATGAACCGTCGACTCTGCCTGTTTGCCAAAAGTTGCTTCTTCCGACGACTCTTTTTGCTCTGGCACCTTTGCTTTTTCTGTTTTGCTTTTATATATTTCTTTCCCCTATAGTTCTTCCTCGGGTTGCCTGATACCTTGATTGAGTTTCAATGGATCTCATTATTAAGCGAATATGTCTTTGATCTCTTCCGAAACGTTGTTCTGGCTTTTCAAATTCAACTTCGTGCTCATTGCGACATTCCTATACCAGGGGTTTCGTATAATGGCTCGGCTAACATATCTCACCTATAGAACATACAACAGAAGAATATGCTATGCAAGCATTTGTGGAAATGGCGAACCATGTGAGTGAATTCTTACAGCCAAGCCAAATTTCGGGTGTGCACTAACCCAATTACACTAGCACGCCCGAGTCCAGCACGAGAACCACGGGGCACCTCTCGTAACTCATACAGAGAGATCCCTCACCCTCGTCACCGATCAAATCCATACCAGATCCATCGCCCTCACCAAGAAATCATAATGGAGCCCCCTCCGCCCGATAGCCGCTCCCGACAACAACAGGCGGATTTCAAAGGTTATTTGGACTTCGACGGCAAGGATATTGGCGTCTATTCTTACTGGAACCTTGCTCGCATCGAGAACGAAATGTCAATTTACCGCAGCGCTCTAAGACAGAACGGCATAATCAGATTACTTAGAATAAAGCCCGCGTATCCAGATGTCGTTGCATCTTTGTACAACCCCTTCAAGTCTCTTATCGTGAATTATTGTACCACACACGCTTTCAGAGGTGGTGCATTCGCAGAGAAGGTTCGCAAGAACAGTGCTCTCAACGACATTCTGCAGTTTATCTACTGGTCCCCTGTCATGACCAAGGAGCATCGATACTTCTTCAGCAAGGAGATCTTGGATCTCAATCAAGAGGTCATGGCACACTTGAAGGAACCCTCTACTCCCGAAGATATAGACTATCGCTTTATGGCCAAATACATACAGCGTCTCGAAAACGTTGAACAGTACTTCGAGACGGAGCGCGTGAGTCCAGTCCCAATACCTACAGACATATCCGACGAATGGCTCGAGTAGTTTGGACCTTTATTCACTGAAAACTACCGCCAAGCCAAGGAGTGGCACCCAGATGCTCCTTTCAAGGTTCAGGACCCTATCAGGGATCAATATGGGATGAGTAGGTATAGCCGGACCCTAGACTTGAGACTTACTAATTTGGGTCACAGCTATGAAGGGATATAATGATATCGATATTGAGGAGATGTACCCCATCCGATTCGCAACTCAGCGCATGATGAGCACCCAAGATACGGCCTTCTCCCAGGTTGGTGCCATGGATTACGGCAGAGGTGAGTTTCCATTGTTTCTGGTGACTTGAGCATAGTCTAATTCAAGTACAGCCCTAAGTCAGATCGCAGACCGAGAAAGCTTGGATCAAGCGAGAGCACGCGAGAACCTAGATGCTGGAGTAGGCCCAAAAATGGCTCCTCAAATTCGTGATCCGGAGAGCTTACCGTTCGACGCCCTGTCTTATCAAATTCCGGATTGGGACAAAGACTGGAATAATGCAGAGTCTGATATTGAATTGCAGGAGACGGTGGAGGACGACAGAGATAGTTTTGATTCTATCGACGAGCTCGAGGGCAGGACAAGGCGGTCAAAGGGGAAGAGTAGAGCTCAGTTTTGAAGGATCGAATATCACGCCAAGGCTTATTCTTGATCACCAATAACTGTGGTATTGGATACTTTAGGTGCCATTTGCTGCCTGGCATATATTCTACTAGGCACGTTTGATGACAAGAGCTATGGTGCATTCAAGATTTTGATACTTGGCAAAGATGAAATGATGTTTGCTTATGTATGTATCTTTTCGTTTAGGACGTCGTCAGTGTTGTTTTTGGCAGAGATGGGTGTTGAGTAACACTCAGTAAATTGTGCAAATTCTGGAATGCACCTTCTTAATAGAGAAGTTGATGGTAAAAAGGTACAACGGCCGACTCGTTTGATTATGAACACTGTCTAGGCTCACCATCAAAATGAATTTGAGAAAGTTGGTTTCGTAGATGCAATAGCCAGTAGTGACCGCGTCCACCGCTACAGTAGTAGATTTACTTAATCTGCCGGCATCATCTTGTCAGAAGTCGCCTCAATGGTAAAAAATGGGTTGCAGGATCTCCTCTAACAAAATGAACTCATTAAACTTTTATGTAAGTTATAGAAAACTTGCTTTCGCTTTCGACTCCGAATGGCTTCGCTAGTTGGTCTGCTGGAAGACAGTATGGCAGGTTTAGGAGTACTATTATCAGCGCTCAAAGAAAAAAGTAACTTATATAGCATATGCTATATAATTTTGAATTATTTCTTGCTGCAAAGTTACGCACATCTGTTTTCCTTATCTCTGCTATAATCACATAAATGGGCGCCCCGAGTATCTCAAACAATGTCTACAGTATATACTACCCAAAAGGCCTTACAGTTAAAACACCGTAGGCGATCTTGTTTGGGTCTTTGATGTAGTACATTGCAGGTTTGGTTGTCTTCGGCCTTTGTTATCCCGATCTTCAGAACTGCCCTACGAGGATTTCCACATTACAATAGCTCCGTTGGGTCATGACAAGTGTGTTCTAGCAATTCGAAGATTCACCATTCGGACAGTTTATCCTATTCTTCTCCGACTTAACCGGTCTTGGAACCTTTTCACTTTACTTGCGTGAGTATGATGCCTGCATACGGTCTTACACACCAGAATGTTTGTGATGGCTGACGATCGTGTCCATTTTATCCCTCCTCCTCCTGGGGTGGTAGCATTCGGGACGGAAGGTTCTTCCCTTAATCGTACGTATGAGATACTGATCTCGGTCTGTATGGTCGTAACCACAGCCTGCGTCATTGGAAGAACATACGCAAGGGTGTATATCCAGAAGAGATGGCTTTTCGAAGACTGTAAGTTCACCAAACTGAATCTTTGGGAGAATTCTGCAGCTAACATATTGTCTATAAGGGGCGGCAACTCTCTGCTACTTACGTGTTCTCAAATCCCTCTTCACCCACAGCAGCACAAAATAGTCGCCAAACAATCGACTAATACCAACATTTCAGATTGGCTTCCTTGGCTGGCTGGCAACAACAGGAATGATGTATATCTACAAGGGTGGGACCCACGCATGGGACGTAGAGCGAAGCGACGTTATCAGCATCATGAAGGTTACTTTACCTCCTATCAACCAATTCCTTCCTTTTACCTCTTGCTCCCGTCTTCGATCGCTCTCAAACTTTCTCTATGCCAGAACAATATGCTTTTGGGCTGGAATATGTACTAATTGCCTTACCTGCCAGTGGTATCTGATTGTTACGGTCGTTTGTTCAGCGGAAGTACTCATCTGCAAGCTCACACTCCTTCATATGTACCGAATGCTGTTCGTTACGAATTCACAATCTCGGCTCAACAAAACCTTGAGGGTCGCCGAGTTCACCATTATTGGCTTTTACTTTTCTCAATTCTTCACAAAAATGTTTGAATGTTCCCCTGTCGCACGAGTTTGGGATAGTTCTATCCCCGGAAGCTGTCTGAGCAAACATGCCATCTTGAATGCTAGCGGACTCTTCAATCTACTCAGAGACATATTCATTCTTCTTGTACCGGTCTTTTCAGTCATGAAACTGCGTATTCGCAACGCAAAAAAGGCCCAGATAATTTTCGCTTTGACTCTTGGTGCTGCGTAGGTCTTTGGGTTCTTTTGAAATGTTTCTCTGGGCTGACACATGCTTTGTAGTGCACCTACTGTTAGTCTGGTTGGATACATTGTCCGTATAAAGCTTGGTTCACTTCCCGATTTGACATATAACCTACCTTTGATTATACTCTTCGCGTAAGCACCCTTCTCCGTGTATTATCAATCGGACTAACAAGGCTGGAATTGTTGAGGTTGCTCTTGGAGTTATTTGCATATGTCTGCCACATCTCTCCGCGTTAATCAGACATCAAAGATCCCAGCACAACACAAGCAACACAAGTTATAGTGGCCATCGTCGCGAACCTAGCAGTGAAATCAATCTCAGTAGGCCAAACAACAGCAGCAATAGACGAACCACACATTCCAGAGCGAGTATTGGGCTTCGTGATGGAGAAGCTCCAGGCAGGGCCGAGTACATTGCTTTGAACTCGCCCGCGGAACCATCCACGCCGCGGGAGAGATATTTCATCTCAAGAAGTAACACAGAATCCACAAATGTGCCTTCTCCAGCTGCAGCGCCGTCTATTGGTAGTTTTCGTGGTCCTCCTTCAGTGGTTGTCCATTGTCCAGATTCAACCTTCCCTACAGCTACCCCATTACCGAATGACGAAACAACATTTCCCAGTCGAGCATACGTGCCTCCTACACGACACTCGGATACGTTCCAGTTCGCATCGGATGGTGAGTTACGACGTGCAAAGCCTGATACAAAAGAAGAGAAGGAGAAGTTTTTCAAGCACCACAGTTATTTCAGCTAAGGAGACATCGAACTTTAGCAACTCCAGAGGATTTCTGACGTTTGATGTATTCTTTGGTCCACATCACCCTCTGTTCTCCGCTTCCCGCGCAATTTGAAGTGCTCAATGGCATGCTTTGGTGTTTTTATTTCGCCCTTGTGGCATTTCTGGTTTTTTGTTCGGAATTCACGGCTATTGATGGAATATTTGGATGGAAACACTTTGTAGAAATGACAAATAATGAGCCATGATGCGTGTTGCAACTATAAAATGGCAAACGGATGTCCTTCAATTCAACAACTGATATCTCATCCCTGGATATGTTCATACTTCGAAAACTGAAGTGAAAATGATAAATTTGTTCATCAATCATTACATAAATGAAGTATGACGGTTTGCTCAATACGATTGTAGTTGAGTCTGTGTTGCTGTTCTCAGAGGAATCCGCTGATCTTGCTATCAAGATTCTGAAAATGAATACTGAGGATCATTAGTCGATGCACGCTTTCGGGTCCGTAGATCACTGACTATTAAACTATTATTAAGGGTTGCCATCAATTTGTAAGCTAAATACACGAAATATAGAAAAATGATAGTTTTTACGGGTCATTTTTGCCGACTCAATATCCCAAGTTACTATTTCCTGTCTTTATGAAGCCTGGGAATCCTTTGAAAAAACCCGCTTGCCGTTCTATTAGTAATTGCCAAATTTCCCTCAGTACGTAAGCTTAACTTGTGCGCTTGTTTGTATTATTCAAGTAAGGTCCGGCTTACAAAAAAAAAGACTAGTAATAAGTTCCATGGGAGCCTTAAAGAGAATAATAGCATACACTTTAAAAAACTCTAACCTAGGATTACCTTGATCTGCTAAATGTTAATATTAATAACACAAAACGCGAGTAGTTTGAGACGGTAAGTAGAAACGCATAAGGACAAATAAAGACAATCCAGTAAAGTTCTACAAACTTAAACACTTCGAGTGCCTAGCGCAAGAAATAACCAGAGTAGAGTCTCGTAGAAGTAAGATTACCTACTCAACCCTTCTTAAGTACCTAGGGTTTAGCCCTACTCTAACATAATCATCAAGAGTATATTAGGCTCGAGGACTAATCAAACAGATTAGCGCTAGTCGGCCCGGGCCGCTAAAGTGCTCTCGGGGTTCTTGCTAGCAGGGCCAACCACTTAGATTTAGCTGGCTCTTCTACGACACCTTCTCATTAAATATCAAAAGCTAGTTTATAATAAATCATAATAGGTTTGTTGGTATAGTAGCTAACAATAATATCATAAAAGCAGTAAATCGGGGCTTCTCAGTAAACACTAATTATACAGGCAAACATGGATATAAGGATAACCTCGGTTATATCCTTATATTCTAGGTCCCGATTTTTTTAGGTGGAATATATAAGGATATCTCTATAGTAAGGATAATCCTTAGGTTTTTGGGTCCCGAAATCTTTTTGGTACCAAAATTATTCTCGTTTTTATCCTTATCGAAGGGGTTCTAAGTAAACTCCTAATATTCTCTATATAAAACTCTAGGGCTTAGAAATAGTGTTTGTAGGATTCTAGGTATAGTACTAGTACTATATAAGTATTACTAGGTACTACGTTATATTTTTCTAGTACTTAAATATACGACCTTGTCGTCGCCTATGCCAAGACCCTCGCTATAAGGATACCCTTAGTTATATCCCTAAAAATCTGTCCCCCGAGAATATCCTTATATCCAGGTTTGCATGTAGGAAACAACTTTAGTAGTACTTCAGTCACAAATATTCCACCTCTACCCTACTTGAGTATACCTAGGTAACCTGATACACTTAAGTAGCCGAGTATTTCTCTCTTACGCTGCGGATCCCATAGCATTTACACAAGGAGAAATGAGCTGGCTACTGGCGCATGATCTTTTCTTTCGAACATCGCTACTCTCCTGCCTCTAAGCTGGGTTGATTGCTGTTGAGTCTTGTCGTTTTCATTTCTCGCGCAAATGGATATTCGACAAAGTGTTTCATGATTTCTCGTGAAGCTGTCTGCACCTCAAGTTGGAGTCAAGAATATGTTGGGGAATGGCTCGTCTTACTAAAGAAGGAAGGAGCTGCTTCCCCACTTATCTAGAAATGGATTGCTCACCCCGCCTTTCCCAGATTGTCGGTTACCGCGAGTAGCTTGGCAGGTTAATTTGGCTCTGTCCTATGGGTCTGCTTAATAATAGTTATTGCGTGTCACGAATCACGTGTCCACGTGATACATGTCATAATAGGAGGCGCAACCCTCGACAGTGCACACCCAGATTTCTTATAATAGGGATCGCTTAGAGTATCTAAGCGATCCAAGGATTTCCATTGGTTACTGTCACGTGATGGACCCGGATAGATCCGGGAGGGATCCAAGGGATCTGATGGATCCAGGAGAGGACGAAGGTTCTATATAAGACTGGCACGTCTACCACTAGATAGGAGCTTCGTGCTCAACTTAGTTTAGCAATCTAGTTATTAAGTTATTACTTCTTTGTTAACAAGTGACGAGTTTACCTCCGAGTAAACAACCCGGCGCATCTTTACTTCTTACCCGCATACCAACCGTCGAAACGATTACCTTTGTCAGATAGTTTGAGTTTCGTCACATTCGATAACTATAGAATAAACCTAATCTATCTTATTACTAGTTCTATAAGTAGATAAAATAAAATAAAGACCTAACGTAGTCCACAAGCGAGTTGGATTCCCAAGCGAAATGGATTTTTTTTCTTGGCATTTTATAAATTCTTAAATATCTCACGACACAATTAATTAAATTAATTACAGTATTCAGAATCGGAATCCTCACATATTTCTTCTCCTTTTTGACAAGTTCGTATGTTATGGCCATGTTTCCCACATAGTCCACAGCGCCGGCGAGGTACTAGACTCGGGCTCGTACAATTACTATTTTCTACTAAAACCACTTGTTCTTGCGAATCAACATTACTAAGGACCCCTAAATCTTGCGCATCTTGGAGAGTAAGTGATCCTCCTTCCTGTAATCGGCGCTTTTTCGTACGACGACGCCGACTAAGTTGATCATTTGCTGTACGAAGTGTAGCATTCTCAGCTCGTAATAAAGCTACCTCAGTGATTGCACGCTGTGCACCCTTTGCAAGCTGGTCTAGGCCATATAGAATCTGGGTCGGAGAACTATCTTGGTGTCGTACGACCTTGTTTTGTATATATGACGTCTGGGAATATGCCTCTGTTATGTTATTTGGGGTCTTTGGTTCCCAAATAGCTAGGAGGCTTGTTGAGGTAGATGGACGTGACGGAGTCCTTGGACGTATATCAAGCTGTGAAATCACAGAATCTGGGTCGTACGGCACTAAGCCAGATCCTCGAAATCCTCCTCGAATGTTTGATTCAGTCATTGTCGTACGAAAGGCAGTATAGAATGTTGATAAGAAATCCTCCTTAGAAACATATGTAATGTGGAGTCGCATTAATTTCTCAAGTTCAGCACCGTACGACCTTTTTAACGCTCGAAAACATCCTGCATCGAGTGGCTGGAGTCTATGAGAGGAATGAGCTGGCATGCAAAGAGTAATAATGTTATTACTCTTACAAAAAAGCTCAAAATCGACTGAGTGGTGGCTTTCATGGCCATCAAGCACAAGCAGCCGGTGAATGCCCTTCGTACGAAGCTTTGTATGCCGATCGAAATGAAAAATCCAATCTAGGGCTCGCTCATTTGTTGTCCAGCCATTTGTAGTTACAGCAATTACCCAGTCGCGTGGTAATTGGCTGTCGAGGGTTGCGCCTCTTATTATGACAAGTATCACGTGAGCACGTGATTCGTGACAGTAGTTCCTAGAATACTAAGCTAAGCTATAAAAGTATAGTATCTCTAAGCTAAAATATATTATAAATATAGACGAGTCTAGAGTATACGTTAGTTATATAGGAAGTAAGAGTGTTATAGTTCCTTTGTCTATAAAAGAGTTATATACTTTAAACCCTAAGAATAGGAAGTTAGTTACTATAATTAAAATAATTTATATAGATAGGAGATAACTACCTTCTTTATTTATTATAGTACTAGGCGCTAAAATTATAGAGAATTAGATTTCCCCGGAACTTAAAGGTATAGAGATAATTAACTATTCGGATTCCGGATATATTAATAATCGAATTATTATAGAATAAGTTACCTTAATTATTTAATTAAAAAGTTAGGTATAAGACTAAATAAACTATAGTAAATACTCCTACTTAATAGCTATAAGTCTTATCGTTTAAAAGAGTTTTAAATTAAAGCTTATAAAAATAATATCGCGCTCTTCTACTTCCCTTTATATTTAATTATTGGGTTGAAAGGGTATTGGGTACTGAAGGTCATGGAGAATTGATTGCATTGTAAAAGGTAGCTATCTAAGGTGTTTATATAAAGAGTGTAAGGTTTAGGCAGACATGAAGCATTTAGGCAGCAGAGCTATAAGTGGATCAAATCAGGAAGTGGAGCAAAAGAGAAAGTAGACTCAGCACAACACACCCCCCCAGGAGACAGCGTCTTATTGAAAGCTGTCACCTGATCCAAGTATCAACTGGCTAATATCTGTAAGATGTAGTTGTTGTACGAATAGAACATGCTTTTGAGGTGATAACTCCTTCGTAAAGCCGTCGGCTACCATACTAGTAGTAG